AATCAAGATAAGTTAGGCATTTGGCATCAATGACTTGCTCATTTAAATGCCAAAAGCATGAAAGAGCTCCAATCTATGGTAAATGGTTTGGATCTTGGTCAATTCAGCCATAATGCTATGATATTTGCTTGTGAAGTTTGTATCTAAGACAAATAACAAAGGGCTTCATTTCCAAGTGGAATCGCAATATGTTCAAGCAAATTATTGAAAATAGTTCATTCTGATATTTGTCGACTAATGAAGATACTATCAATTGGAGGAGCAAGGTACTTTGTCATATTTATTCATGATTTTTTAAGAAAGATGTGGCTATACATCATTAAAGCAAAGAATGAGTGTTTTTCAAGGTTTAAAGAATTCAAGGCACTTGTGGAGAAGCAATATGAGTGTAAGATGAAAGTGTTACACATGAATAATAGAGGTGAATATATATCAAAGCATTTTGATGAATTTTTAAAAAATCAATGCATTACAAGAGAAATCTCTATTCCTTACACTCTATAACAAAATGGAGTTGTTGAAAGAGAAAATCACACCATTGTAGAGATAGCAAGGAGTATGTTTCATGCACAAAACCTTGGACATGAATATTTCACACAAGTTGTGGTCAATATAGTGTATACAAAGAATAGATGTCGAATAAGTGCATTCACATCAATGACTCTATAAGAAGCTTGTAGTCGCAAGAAACCTTGTATTTCACACATGAAGATCTTTGAATGCATTACTTATGCAAAGAAACTAGATTGTATGAGGTCCAAACTTGATGCAAAAGGAACAAAATGTATATTTTTTGGATATTGTGAAGGTATCAAAGCATATATGCTCATGTGTTTAGAAACCAAGAAAATCATTAAAAAGTCGTGATGTAGAATTTTTGGCACATAAGAGTGCTTATGAGCACTTGGAAATGTATCCAAGTAAGAATAATGGTATGTTTGTGGATACATCTTTAAATCTAGCAATGAAAGAAGAAAAAGATGATGATAGTGAAGATGGTGGAATCTCAAATCAAGATGAAGAATCAAAGAAGGTAGATCATGAGGCACCTCCAATTGCTAAAACCAACAATAAAGACAATCAAGATGTTGAAGATGATCATGGAGATAAGGAGTACCAACCTTAAAGTGTGAAGAGTCAAATTTTAAGAGAAAAGAAGTTTGCAAGTGCTATTGGAGTGCATGAAGGTGAATCTTCATCAAGTGAAATGAGATATCCTTTAAGAAATCTAAAACAACTTAGTGCATAGTGGAAGAATCACATCTTTCCTCAAATAAGTGAAGAACATGCCAATGTTGTACTCCTTATTGATCCATTGAATTTTTGTGATGCAATGAAGTCCATGGATGCTATGAAGTGGAAGAATATCATGGAAGAAGAATAAAAATCATTCCTAAAAAATAAAACATGGGAATTGACTCAACTTCCATCAAATCGATCATTAATTGGTTGTAAGTAGGTGTTTAGAACCAAAAGAGATGCAATGGATAATATTGTGAGATACAATACTAGATTGATTGTTAAAGGATATTCACAAGTTGCTGGAATTGATTTCAATGAGAAATTTGCTCTTGTGGCCAAATTTACCACCATTAGAACCATTGTGGCAATTAAGGCAACAATGAATTTGGAGATGCATCAATTAGATGTGAAGATGGCCTTCTTGAATAGAAAGTTGGAAGAAGATATCTACATGGATCAACCTCAAGGATTTATTGAAAATGGCAAACAATGCCTTATTTGTAAGTTGAAGAAATCCTTGTTTGGGCTCAAGCAGTCTCCAAGGACATGGTACCAATGTATTGATACATTCTTTTTGAATGAAGGATTTATAAGGAATAAAGCTGATTATTCTTTGTATGTGATGCAATCAAATGAGTTCATATTGATTGTCATCCTCTATGTTAATGATTTGATCATCTCAACCAATGCTATAAAAATGATGGATTGGTTGAGGACAAAGTTAGAAAAAGAATATGAGATGAGTGATTTGGAAAAGCTTCACTATTATTTAGGAGTGGAATTTGTGAGAGATCATACTAAGAAGACCATTATAATGAGCCAAAGTAAGTACATTAAAGAAGAGTTGAAATGATTCAATATGAAGGAGTGTAAGCCTATTAGAACACCTTTGGAGGCCAATTTGAAGTTGATGAAGCTCACGGAAGAAGAGTTTGCTGAAATTGAAAGACAAGTGCAAGGTGTTCCATACAAGGTAATAGTGGGCTCACTAATGTATGCAATAGTTGGCACAAAGGTGGATCTTGCATATGCGGTAAGTGTTGTGAGCCAATACATGTAAAAGGTTAGACCAATCCATTGAGCAACCATCAAAAGGATCATGAGGTACTTAGAAGGTACTTTGAACTTTAAATTATGTCTTAGAAGTAATAATATTACTATGCATGGTTATTATGATGCAGATTGGACTAGAGATGCAAATGATAGAAGGTCAAAAATGGGATATATATTTTTTCTTGGAGTGAGGGCAATTTTATGGAATTACAAAAGATAACCAACAATTACAAGGTCAACAATGGAAGGGGAGTACATGGCAGCAAGCCATAGTACAATGGAGGCAATATGGCTAAGACAACTTTTGGAGGACATTGGAGTAGTACAAATAGAAGCAACTCCAATGAAGTGTAGCAATCAAGGATGTCTTACTTTTGTAAAGAATCCAAAGCATCATTCAAGCACATTGATATTCAACATCACTTTACATAAGAGAAGATTGAAATGGGAATAATTGATATGAAGCATTGAGCAATAAAAGACATGTTTGCTGATTTGTTTATAAAGGCATTAGTAAATGATAGACATCACATGTTGAGAAAGGCTTTAGGATTGAAAGCCCCTTTAGCAATAGCAAAGTGGGAGTGTTGAAGTAAATAAGTAAAAATAGAATAAATTACGTAGTAAAAGGTATTATCTTAAGTAAGTTATTAATAATTAAAAGGTTGACTCTTAGTGTATAGAAAGAGCATCCTATAGATATAAGATGAGATCAAGGACCAAGAATCAAAGTTAAGAGGATAAAATATGAATTAGGGGATATCCAAAGACTAGTTAAAAGTAATTAGTGTTTGGCATAGGATATCCTTATGGTTAGTAAGATGGCAAAAGATCCAAGGACCATAGAATACCATCAAGGTATATTAGATGCCAATGGATCTTAGGACCAAGGATTATGTGTGTAAAAGTTAAAGAGTGGAAGTTGTCTTATAGGGCAGCAACCACAACCTATAAATAATGGGTGTTGGAAGTGAGAGATATCTTACTCCATACTCTCTTTGTGTCCAATCTTGCTGATGATATGTATTGTGATTTTAAAGTTCTATTTCTTCAACAATCTTAAGGTGTTAATTGAATACATTATTATTTTTGCTCTTTCTTGTCTTCACATAGTATAGGAGCTTTGTCTCTCCAAACATATGCTTCATACATCATAACTCTAAAATAAGATTGATAATATTATTATAAATTCAACTGATGTTCTAGAGCTAGTTGATTTAGAAATTATACATATCGAGCTACTTGATTTTGGTATTTTAAAGGTTGAAGTGAAAAACACTCCACAAGTATATACAAGTATACACAAGAGGAAGAACTTTAGAAATAAAGGTTTATATTTATAATTAGAGAGATTAATCCTACTACATAATTGATAGTTGATGAAAAATAAATTGATTTATTGCATCAAATTGTTAATAAGGTATGTAATACCTTTAAATTATTACTTTAAGTTGTTTAAAATATTACCATAAAACTAAATATTTTGATATTTTTTATTTTCTTTTATGTAAGATCAATATTCATCTAATTTGGAATCTTTAACCAAAAAAATTGAGATGAAGTTAAAGTAAGTTAAAAATAAAGTTTATATTTATTATAGCTGATTTATTTATTTTTTAAATGGATGAAAGTAAAAATGGTAAATGGTATTGCAATATTATTTTCATTCTAAAATTCCAATTATATATGAATATTTAAATTAAGATTGTATGCTTAATATGTCTTGTTGATTCATACTGTAAATTTATGGCAGCATTAAACTGATAGAATTGGATGAGTTTAAAACAAACATGAGCCAAAGCAACGTGGTAATGATATTTTTTTTTGCTTGGTTGTTATAAACATCAACTATTAGATGACATAATCGATTGTAATTGTTCGGATATGCATAGTTTTAAATACAATACAAAAAATAATAAGTATTTAAGGAAGTTCACTATTGGATATGCATGTTTACAAAAGAATTTTTATAATTGATATTAGAAGTATTTTAAATTTGTTGATTTAAGCCAAAATATTTATATGGATATTATATTAATTAAGTATATAGAAGTATTTTAAATTTGTTGATTTAAGCCAAAATATTTATATGGATATTATATTAATTTATTATATAGATAGATATGGACATATATATATATATATATATATATATGTATATTTGAAACTCAAAGTGCTTATTAAACCTAGAATTTTAATATGAATACTTGTAATAATTTATTCATATATATATATATATATATATATATATGACATTGATTCTTTTTCAAAGAAAAAATAAGAATAATAATAAAATAATAAAATAAACAATGATTTTTCATTCTTAAAAAAAATAGATTTTAAAAAAACAAAAAACAAAATAAAAATAAAAAAACAAAAAAACAAATTGTCTTAGTTTCGTCTAGACAGGCAGTTGCCTTGAGTCTTAAATTTTCTATATGTCTACCTCGATGCTGTCATACCTTAGATACAGAGCTGGCCAAAGCCAAGTTGGAATCACGTGTACTCTTGAGGCATTGATCAGATTGCTGTTGCAGTATTTTTTCACTCAACCAGCACTGAAGTTGATAGACAACACAAATTGAGCTAGCTTACTGTTCGTGAATAGCTTACATCACGTTAGCTTCTGCCGAGAACATGCATAAGATAGTTGACCGAGTTAGACAGAAGGTAATCAAAGATTCATATTGGAGAGGTACTGTAAATTGCTCATGCTACGGTAAGAATTTCAAGTAACGATGAGTGGCAGTCATTACATAGAATGTAGAACCAACAGAAACTCGTACTTCGATATGGTGGAATGATCGTACTTGACTACAAGAGAACCTTGCCAAACATAGTTGCCAGAAAGCTTAAATAATAATGATCAAGGCATGATGCAATCACCCTTGGAAGTAAAATTGTGAATTATACCTACTCAGGAATCGGTAAGGTATGAAAATCTCTCATCTCTAGCTTCCACTCTACTTGTCCATTCTCTTCGGTAATTGGAAGTGCTTTTACAACGTCTGCTCCAACAGCCCGTTGTCCATCAACTTCCACTATGAGCATCAAAACGAGCTCTTCATTTCTAGGATTGTAAGGCTCCTCACCACCAGCGTCAGGAGCTATGGGTTCAGCCATCTCACCCTCAACAGGTATGCTACTGACGTCGTCGCCAGTCAAACCCAAAATCCGAGTCCGATCCATTCCTCGTAGGACTGGAATGATTGTTTGTCGGGTTACTAGAGGCACGTCTTCGATCACCTGTCAAGAAGGACGACGACACAAGGGTGAACTGAAAATCATATGTTAACATGTAATGTTGGATATGTTACATATTCAATCAAGGGGTTCATTATGGATGTTTACAAATTTTGACAAGATGACGAACGCATGATAATATACAGTCCTCTCGGCAGCAATCCTGCTTTCCTGGATGGAGACATAACCACCCGCGCAATTGATTACTGCAGAGCGGCAACAAGGTAGTCTACCAAAGCACTCAGAAACCGTGAAATGTTCCACACCATATAGCAATGGTATGTATCCTTTAGACCTTCTCTAAGCTGGATAACTGAACGTCTGAGCTTCCATACCATCAGCTTTCTACAAGGATGAGGCATCATTGACTTTCTTTACTGCTATTTCTACGTCTGTTGGTGCAATACTAAGAGTGAATTTAGAGAAATGGCGATGAGAATTGCTTTATGGTGCTAAGCCACACAAACAAGCACCCCATGAACACAGCAGAATCATTCCAGTCGCATGTGGAATAGCCCAGGGCTTGAACATTTTTCTAGGAATCAGAATAAATGGTTGTAAGTACGGTACATCACTCCTGGCATTCTAAATACATTAGAACGCTCATACTAACCTGATTTGTCACATCGACCACAGATGTTTCATTTGAATCATCCGCTGATCCAATAGTCTCCGGAGCCAGGGAAGGATCACGAACAAATGTCCGTGGAACGTACTCAGCAATCCACGTCAAGGTTTCGTATGCTGGGGGCGCGTCTAAGTTTTTGCTGGTCGGCCGTGAATGACTGCTGAAACCGCTAGCAGATCCTCTGGGCAGTGTACGCACTGTTTCTCGCACTAACACACATCCTGAGCCGAATCTTCCTTGATATCAATTACAAGCAGATATTCAATTGCACAGAAAGAGTGCTCTAAAAACATTATGCAAAAGATGCTCTAAACAATGCGGATAACAACATCGAAGGCACATGAAAATCACAATCTACAATTTGAGTTTGTTTATGAAGGTTATGATGGCATCCGTGCAAGACTTCATGCATCTCCAGGAAGCCAAAAAATCAGAGAAGTACTTAAACAGAGGAATCCCAATAAAAGCAGCTCTCTCTCTCTCTCTCTCTCTCTGTGTGTGTGTGTGTGTGTGTCTTAGTACTCATCTCCATTGTGCACACTTTTTCAAAAAATTACGATTCCCTAAATTGGGTTTTTAACCCTTGTTTGACATACCCTTGCCAAGATTCAACGAAGACTACACTGTTCTGCTTCAGAAAATCTAACAAGTTATATTCTCGGGTTCAAAGAACAAAACCCTAAACCCTACACTGTCGATGGCGTTCTCCAACATGTTTCTTTTTAATCATTTAAGGATTCCCTTGCAACTTCCGTATTTCAATGCCGCTCGAGTAGCCTTCACATCGCCGATTCATGACTACCAGGCTCCAGTTACCGCTAACTACTCACATCAAGGCTATAGCCAACAGAAAAAAAAATTGCACCAGGTGCAGATGGGCGACACAAACGGCATCACAAATGGCAACCAGTCCGGGTGCTTACCTCTCCAATCCTCCATTTGCCACCGATCGTATCGTGCTCGCCCTCTCCCTATCCTCGCAATTTTTATCAAATGCATCATCCCATACCAACATTAACGCGTCGAAATTCCACTGTGAGGTTCTCGCTCGCCCTCCGCCCGACGACTTGCGCTTCTCCTTCGCCTTCCCCTTCTTTTGCTTGCTGGCAGCCCATGCCAATCCCGGCTGCCATGACCCTCCACTCCCTGTACTTCTTACGCCACTCACCAGCTCCGCGAATTGCCCCAATTCGACCCGAGAGCCTCGAATTGAAGACCCATAATTGCAAACACCGCCAATTTTCGACAACGGAGTGACCAATCCGGCAGCCATTTGCATTCTTCCAAGTTTCTCCCCACAAACAATCCTCCTACTCACCACAATCTCTCACTCACTCGTCATCCGTGTGAGTGAAATCTGTAGTTCCCCAGCGAGGTTCATAGAAATTGGTACGGCTGGGAAATGTCGGATTTCTCAGAGGCGGATTGCGAGAAACATGAAGAACAAAATAATGGATCAATGCAGTGGCATCGGATTGTCGATGCGAGTGAGATGATGATCTCCTTTGTAAGAGAGAGCAAGGAAGCGCAGCACTCGAACTTCGGATTTGAATGGATAAGGCCCGCCCGCCTTGGTTGTTGCGCCCCCACTTTGCAAGGGGCTTGAAGAAGCTTTGCATCATGCTATATTTTTATAAAATAAAAAATAAACACACACACACAATTGTCAAGTGATGTGGGAAGTTGTGCTCACCCTACAGGTTTCATTTAATGAAATTTCGGTGTAAACTGATTCTTTTTCATGTTTTGTTAAATGTTGAAAGTAATCTATGTATATATTGGTTTTATAGAACTAAAAATAAAATAAAAACATAAACATAAACAAAGAAATGTTTGTAATGTGGAGAAATAATTATATTAGGTTGAATTATGCATATGAATAGGGATCTTGTATACCAATAACTTAATATAATCATTGTCAATAGTATTTATTTATAAAAAAATCTCAATGAAAAATATGTTATTGAGTTAGTTATTGGACCTTAATTTGATTGTATATATATAATAATTGTTATCATAGTAGAATAACAATGCCCTCAATCCTTCACATCTTCTTTTTGTTTTATTTCTATTAAGACTTTATTGTAGTTCTACAAAACTTATTTTATTTTGAGATAAGCTATAAAAATAAATAAGACAAAATAATGGCAATCTTTGTGCACAGTGCCTCCAACGTGGTTGCAAAATCAGTCCTTATTGATATAGTCAATAGATTAGCCATATGATGGAGAGAAGTGATGTGCACTAGGAATAGAGAGAAAGGCTTATTAGGTATATGAGAGAGAGCTCTAAACCCATAGCGTTACTTTGTTGCTTGTTTTTGAACTAATTGATATAAGTTGTTGTTTATTGTGTTCTAGAATAACACCTCAGATTTCCTTTTACAAGAATAATAAGGCCCCCTCTCTCTCCCCTTCTTAGGCATGACAAAATTATTGTTCTCCTAATTTCATTAAACATGGGTATTTTCTTCTTTTTCTCTCTCTAATTTCTCTTAGATCTCTATTATTATTATTGCCCTTAATTGTAGCACACATGCTATAATTGGCCGTAGCAAACTCTATTCCTAGTCAAATTTGCTTTTTCTATGATAATCAACAAATCCCAAGCTTAAACAATCCACGTCTTAGGACTCTTTTTGTCAAATCTTGTATTATCATCAACATACATATTTACTCCAATAATTATCTAGATAGTAGGAATAGGTAGAAGTGAGTGAAAGTATGTAATTAATAAAATATCTTGTGGAAAAACTTCCTAGAAGCTTTATAGATGTAGATTTGACTTTATACATATTTGTAGGTGATTGTTAAGTTGAAAACTTGGTCAACAAGTTGGCCTTGTGGCACACATATAGGAAACTTGCCTTACAAACTAGACATATATCTTGCACATTACACACATGTTGGAGGTCCTATAGAACGTCACTACATAGGTCCAAGTTAGATAGTATATTTAGAGGTAAGAATGAAGCCTTTCTCACTCTAGTCAATGCTTTTCTTACTTCTAATCTAGTTTTAAGAGTCTCTAGTTTTTTTAGTCTTTGGCAATAGCCATATTAGCTTCTTCTTTAAGATACATACTTATCCATTTCCTTTTTGTCATTCTTTTTTGATAAACATCTCACTTATTTATGTACATTCTTTGAGTTCTTATTCTAGATATATATTCTCTTAATATGTTATATTGTTGCACATTGAGTTTAAACATAATATCACATTATTTTCTAACAACATTGGATTCTTTAAACATATTGCAAATATTTTCTATAGTGAAATATTTGAAAACTAGCATTTTCCAAAACAATAAGATAATAAAATCTTTATATATATATATATATATATATATATATATTTATCCAATACAAAGCAAAGATCTCACTGCTAGTGAAATTTTAAAATGTAAAGTTAGAAGCTTACTCAAATGATATACCAAATATTGATTTCGTAAGATAATTCTTGATAATATATTAATATCAACTTAAAAGAAATGTAAGATAATATGTATTTTTTCATTTTTTTTAATATTTTCACAATAACTTATTAATTTCTATTTTTTTATCCATTATGATATAATTTTCTTTTGATATATGCAAATATGTTATTTTTTTGTGTCTAAAAATACTAAAATAAAATAAAATAAAATCATCAAGTAAACATCAAAAGTTATTAAGCAAGTCAAATGCAAAGAATGATGAAAAGCTTATGCACATTGGCATTACTTTACAATCAAAAGAAAAATCAAATACTGATGATAAAATCAAATTCAAAAAGACAGCAAAAAATTGAAGGAATACCATAAATTTTAGAACATTAACTGAATGATACAGTACTAATTTTTTTCTTAAAAGATTTAAGGCTTTTTTGTTTTTTTATTAAAAAAAACAATTACTTAAAAAATCTAGAAGCTTGTAAAGAATTAGAAGTCAAGAATCACTTCATAAGTTCCTAATTATTATTATTAATTTAAACTAAAGTAACATGTTAAAGAAATCATTCAATATTATGATGTACATTAAATTTTTAAAATATATTCATATAAAAACTATACAAAGAGGGTGCATAGACATTATATGCCTATAAAGAAGTAGGCAAAATCGGATTAATATGCTATTCCCACATTCAATGAAACCTTATGTTCTAAATAACAGGCTATGGTATTTTATAAGATAACTATATCAAAGACTTAATACATATTGATAAAAGTTCTCATAATTGGATTTTAAAATGTCCTAAATAATTATTATTTTTTAAAGTTGTAGTTGTATCAAAAAAAAAATAGTTTTATAATTTGAATAGGATTAAATTCCACATGAAATTTAGCTATTGCAATTATTACCTACATATTGACAATTGCCTACAGACATATATAGTTTAGTGGGTTAGTTTAGAGAAGTGGGTAATTACAGGGATGCTCATTTCATTCTTTTGGTAAATGATGTTAGCTTAGTAGAGGACTGTCGTGGGAATTGAAGAGTGCATCCAGCCGTCCTTGCAGATGTGTTTTTTTTACCAAGTTAGAAGCAACTGATTAATCCTTGAGAGTGGAGTGGAATCAGTAAGTTAAGGCTAGAAAAAACATTCACCGCCTGTTGAGACAAGTTTTGATCACAGTTATTGCAACTTTTCAAAGGAGCAACCAGGATGAGGAATTTAATGAGAAATACATGAATGCCATGGTTGAAAGATATTTGCTTGCTGGAGACCAGTACCCATCTTCCAGTGTAAACCTGCATTTTGCAAACATTTTTCTTTCCGAGCACCGGATACTTCAACCTTAGCCTTCTGAAACAGTGGGGTAATACTTTAGCCATGCTACGCTCATCTTGCAAAGGCTTTGTTAAATCCGTGTTGGAGAGGGTCAAAGCGTGTGTGTTCGTTCATTCTTCTCTTGAGGAAAACCGAGACTTTTGTGTATATATATATATATATATATATGCAAGTTGGTGATAAATTTGATGAGAGTCGCTTCGAATCAGTAACTGTAACACTACCAATTAGCGGACGGCTTTTTGGGAACTTCTGAGACCACTCCTCACGCAATCGCAAAGTCTTGTACAAAATCCACCCTGAATATGCCAAGTTGGGCTTGCTGATTGCTTTCTGCAGGTATTGATTTTAGTGAGAAAGGCAGGGGTGACACCAACAGCGACATCAAAGTGGGTGAAGCGAATTGGCAGGGGAGAGAAGTACAGCTAAACCGAGTGAGGGAAATAAATTTGCAATTGGAAGAACAAAGGACCCATTAAGAACAAGTGGGAGTGGATATGAACATGACCAGACAGTCGAGAAATGCAGCTTTTTCAAAGAAAAGAGACAGGGCAGAAAGACAATGGCAGTGTAAACAAAAAACTTAATATCTTTTATGTACTGACTGAAAGTGATTGCATTCATGACACTTTTCCTTGTGTTGCATAGCCCTTCAAATTTACACACAAGATTACGTAGAATAACATGCCAATGAAAAATTGTGATGATCCTTGTCTCTCTCTTGCTTGAGAAAAACCATTTCACATGTGCCAAACTAATACAACACCGAGTTTGATGAAGCTGATTGGAAAACCGTTGTGGTCGAGGCTGGAAGGTTGACGAGGTGCAAATTGGAAGCGTCATTTTTATTATTATTATTATTATTTTAATGTGGGAAGTGAATGAGCTTCACACAAACCCACCAAAGCTGCCAATTTAAGCTTACTGAAAATACAACATAAGGTTTGGGGAGTTGACATGCAAAAGAAAAAGTGGCTGCTTCTCAATTCTTTGAAATTTTTTGGTAAGAAGATAAGAGTGGTTGACTCATGTGTATTTATTATTATTTTTATTATTATTATTTTGGAATAACCTACTGTGAAAGTAGGCTTGGCAAAAGAGGTGATGGTGTGCTAGTTAAAGATTACTTTTTTCTATCTCATTTTATTTTATTTTTGTTTCTTTGTTTTACTAGTTGTGCACTTAATTATGATTAGAATTTATATTTTAAATTATAAATTATAATTTGGTATTTTATTAGAATTTATCAGTGATTAGAATTTGATCTTATCTTTAAATATTAGAATTAATATTGAAATATTTTATATAATTTAGACTATAAATTTTGTTAGAATTCAGATTTAGTATTTTCTTAGGATTAGGATTTAGAAATTTAGAAATTTTATACCAATTTCTTAGAATTAGGATTTAGGATTAAGATTTAGTGAGGATTAGAATTTAAGATTAAGTTTGATGTTTGTAAATATTTAATAGAATTTCGTAAGTTTAATTTTTAAAATTTAGGATAAAATAGTTTTTTAAATATATGCTTATAATAGAAATTGTTAAAATATAGAGTTATGATTTGAAATTGACCTAAAATTAAGTTTAGGCTTGTTACAATTGGATTATATATAGGCTTATATTAAAATAAATGAATGAATTATAATAGAAAAATCAAACTAAAATTTAGGTATTTATAGGTATGGTGAACCTTGTGGCAGTAAGCATAAGATTAGTTTATAATCAAATAAGAGTTTATAAAAGAAATTAGTTGTAATTTTTATTTTTATTATAAAACATCCAAATTCTTGATAATAAATTAATCTTTAAATATGACATAGTAAAGTGGACATGTAAAAAGTTGCGACACTTGGGTTAATTTCAATTTTCTAATAAATTCAATTGTTGTGAGTTGTCACAAAGCAGTGAGCAAGGTTGTACAATCCAAGTAATGAATCTCATGTGTAGATGCGAAGTGCGTAAGCAGGTTCCATTCTGCAAATGGAATCACAAGTTGATATCTGACATCCTATTGCCGCGAGCAGCCGAGTACTATTGTTTAATCACAAAGACTCTGAAAAGAGGAGAATAGGTAGATGCTTGTCGCCTTCGGAGAGGGTTGCATGAGAAGTGGAATGGTAAATGCAGCAAGAGTGAAAATATTGAAAATAGTATGCAGATCAATCCGAATACTATCATGGATAGCCTTAAAAGTAAGAATCTAAGTCATAAGAATAGATTGAAATAGAAGACCGTGGCAACTTTGAATTGACAAGAGTAAAGTATACGTGCAAGCTATATGTTGTCAATGCCTTCTGAGAGCACCGTCCTTGCTTGACCTCGACATTGTCGACAAAGACTAACCCTGGTACTAAACTCCACAAACAGAAGATGGAGAAGTTGTTTCACCCTAATAAATAGACTAGTGAAAAAGTTCACACTTCCCAGCTTCCTCCAAAGCAAAATTCTGCTACTGTAACTGTTTTCGATTGCTCCTAAGTCTTTGTCAACCAAGATTTGATTCAGAACAGAAAAATGTTAAAACTCCCCTGCGTAGTAACGTACAGTGAATTGTGTGGATATGAGCAGTGCACTGCTAATCAGACAATTGGTATGAATGGATTAGATCATGAAGTTTCTAGTCTGACCAACGCTCAAACAGTTCTTGTTGACATTGCAATCTTAAACTTTGTGCATTGTTAGCACCATTGTGAAGTCAACATGGAACAATGAAGTCAACCAATCTAAATGAGGTGCTTTGTGACGAGGACTTATAATCTCAGATTGCACCCCAAAATACTGATTTCTAAAGATGAAATGACTTTGGATTGTGTGCGCACAAACAGTGATTGGTGCAATGCACTATCAATGTGATGGAATCTTGTGCCTACTCCGGGTGAGAAGAGATATTTTCTAAAAGACACAACATGTGACTTCACCCTGTTAAAAGTGTATACTTTTGATCTTATAATACAATTTGCTGATTGTGATTCCAAATCACTAGTTATTATATGGTACTCTCTTTTTGGCAGAATTTTTTAGAGAAATAGGCTCTTCATGAATGTATATATATATATATATATATATATACAATTGTTGCATCAATTGATTAATAGCACATGTTGAGAGGGTTTTGGAAGAGCTTTTTCAAGTTTGGAATATTTTATTATTTGCAATGCTCTAATAATTTCAAGAAATATTTCCAAAATATTCTCTTTATTCCATATGTAGTTATGAAACCAAAACGGTTTATAATGTGAATATATACATATATATATATATATATATATTTCTTGCTATATACTAAAATTTAATTAGTTCTCAAAAAATACTTCTGAGCAGGATGACATCATTCCTACTGAAGTTTACAAGTTGACTTACTTTATAATTTCATGGTTGTTTAACGAGTCAACAATTTTAACCAACTTTATAGTAGCTAATATCAGAAATGCTAACAGAACAACTGTTTTTCGGTTTCTTATCGTTGAAACTAGTTTGCTTTCACTAGGCACAATGGTCGCACTACCTTCAGAGCCTTTTTTTTTTGTTTCTTTTTCGCGTTTTTTTCTAAACTGTCTATTGATTCTCGTATTTCTATGCGTAGACCTGAGACAGTTCGGCGCAGTGGAGATGCGAGAATCTAGATGAGCGCCGTTCCAGCGCGTTGTGCAACAATATCGCGGCATCGTCATCGTTGTCGTCGTCGGCAAAACTGAAGGCTGTAGAACAGATCACTTCGGTTGCACGGGGAAAGGCGCAAAGCCGCCACTGTAATTGAACCCCGAGCGCTGCGAGGACGTGGACCCCTGCGAGAACTGTCCCGAAGCAGGCTCGAAATCATCGGAGAAGACGTCGGTGACCGACAGTGGCGGCGCACGGCGACCGGGATCGTATCCCTTCGGTAGATCCGTGGACTTTCCCCCGCCGGGCATGATCTGCGCCTTCGGACCCACTAGAACCTCCAGCTTCTGCATCACCTCGTGCATTGAAGGTCGTTCCAAGGATGTGTCTTCCACGCATGACAAGGCGATGGTTAGGAATGTCTCTAGCTCATCCTGGGGCGTGTCCGCCAGGGCTGGGTCTAGCATCTCCCTCACTCCCTCCATGCCTGATCTGTCGATCTGGCTGCGTACCTCCCGGACGATGTGGCCGCCGCTTGAGACCGGGGGTTTGCCCGTTAAGATCTCCAGCAGGACGACGCCGAAGCTGTAGACGTCGCTTTTGGGGGACATCACGCTGGTCATGTAGTACTCCGGATCCAGATAGCCCTGGTGGTTCATGCACCGTGTCGCAGATCAGCTTTTCGCATGATTGGGTTACGAAGGAAAGTGAGAAGATAACGTAGGGGCGAAAGAAATAGTGGTCACGCACCATGGTTCCCTTGATGGTTGGCTTGAATGAATAAGTTCCCTCATTCGGCACCAAAACGGAGAGTCCGAAATCGGCGACCTTCGCATTAAGTTTCTTGTCGAGCAGAATGTTGGGCGACTTGACGTCTCTGTGAAGGATTGGCGGATCTGCGTTGTCGTGCAAGTAGGCCAAACCTCGGGCTGCACCCAGTGCTATCAGAAGTCTTCTGTCCCAGTCTAAAGGTTCAATACCCGCTTTCCGGCCTGCATATCATTTACGCATAATTCAGAAAACGAAACCATAACACAGTAAAACGTTTCTGGGCATCTTCGTTCTCATCTCTAGCACTCTAACCCGTTCACCCCTTCGACAGGACTCGTGATTTCTTGCCGATCCAACGTCTACAAGCATCAAAAGATGCTTCCAAGAATTCAAGCTAATTTTTGAAAAAAATGGCATAAAGAAAAATTACAACGCTCGTTACAGACGTTGGACTTGTTAATACTCACCACGAAGCGCTTCGGTCAATGTACCATTGGGCATGTACTCATACACAAGCATTTGCTCTTCCTTCTCGCAGCAGAACCCCACAAGCCCCACCAGGTTACAGTGATGAGCCCGTGATAGTAGCTCTATCTCATTCTTGAATTCAGTGGCACCTTGTTTGGAACCTTCTTGTGCCCTTTTCACAGCAACCATGGCCCCTGTGCCTGCCTGAATACCCTTGTATACCTGTTCAACACACATTCACCACCAATTCCAGTGATGAATTTCATCGTACCGGCACCATAAAAACATGTAGAATTCAAACTAGTGAGTACACTTGCGCAGTTACACGAGCATGCTCCACAGTTCACAATCTACACGTATCACGAGCTGGTATTTAGTTGTAAACGTGACACACCTTGCCATACCCTCCTTCACCGAGGAGGTTGTCCTCACTGAAATTATTTGTCAGTCTCTTCATGTCATCAAAGCTAAAGTAGTTGGCTCCTTTCAACCTGGGTACCGCGCCACCTTTCATATTATCCCATTTACCTGCACATCGAACAACCCAAGTAACATTCAAACATTTGTCTAATTGCAATATGGTGACATATCTATCATCAAAACTCACCAAGAGGGAATTCGAAAACATAACAAATATTTAGGATGTAGAGGATCTACCAAAAGGATTCAACTCCCGTTCTTTCTTGACTCTGCCTTTCATTACGCAAGCTAAGGAGACCAAAAACCCAACGAGCAGCAACAAAGAGGCAGCTCCTACGGCAATGCCAATAATGGCTATTCTCGAGAGACCCGAAGAGGCTGTCGAAAGTGGTTCTGCATCACATCATATTGATCAGTCAGCATCATGACATCATTCACAAAGACGACTCACCAAATCCATGCAAAAAAAACTTGAAACCTCAATCCACAACCCTTAACCATATACTCCTTGGTATTCCAGAAGGTACCTTCAGAATTTTGGATAGCTTTGACGAGTTCCGGCTTGAAAGGAGGGTAATACTTCACTTTCTGAAGAGTAAAGCTTCTCGTGATAAAATCCGCAGTAACACGATCCATGGATTCACCAACCAGAGGAAAGAAGTACATATTAACCTCAACCCTCAAAAGAGAGCCATTGAAGGACGCATCGTGGATCCAGAGCTGCTCATCTTCGAATTGCAATGGAGGGTTCTCATGTTGGGTGAGATTCTTCAGCGACGTCAATGTTTGATTCAAGAGAGAGTCCCACAAAGACAAGTCATTGATATGTGTGAAGGTGGGCGCTCGGACCTCAAGCGTTACCACAAGAGGTCTGCTACAACGACACTGCAAGGGGTTCAAAACCAACCCGGGGTCACAAAACTGGTTCCCGCAATTGTTCACGTTGAGCAGAGGGGAAACCCATTGCTTTTCCATCGCAGGCTGAGTTGCGTTACACAACTTAGGATCTGGCTTTACAATACTATTGGGGTCTGTGCACAATGGATTACCTTGCAACCTGCAGATTCATAAATAATTCATCTGAATATGAATACAATTCAATATTTGCAGAACACGTTTAAATTGTATTGGTCATTGTAGCTGAGAATAACTGACATTACATGCGGGTTTAGAGGAAATGCTCAGCTACCAATACATGCAATATATAACTCACAAAATTTCGACATTTTTTGCTGCAGTTCGATCAGTTGCTAATATGGTTACGATTTTGTTGTTCTGGAGAGCGACATATCGTAACTTCCGCCCCACAGTCACTGGAATCGTAAGGGCCCCGTCTATTGAGTTATTTTTAAGGTACCTGCTCAGCGAAACATACAGCAACAAATCATTTTCTGGGTTGAATTACTCAACATGCGATTAAAATCCATCTCTAAAGATAACAGAGCGTTTTGTTGAATGTTTTGGTAACTTACAGTCCCTGAAGTGCCGGGTAGGCTAGAATATCAGCAGGCAGTGGCCCAGTCAGATTCGCATGTTCAAATCGTCTGTATTCCCCAAAAAAGAATGAAACAACCCAGAAAAACAACCTAAGATTCATCATACATGTGAACTGGCACGTAGATGGCAGCTATAAAAAGTTTCAAATTTACCAAATAGCTTGACAACAAAGGAACAGCAGGCAAAAGACCTATAACATCATCTAATTGGAAATAATTCATAAAGAAATAGCCTACTATGGAGTTTCAAAGAGTTTGGATGCCGCACATTGTTTGTATGCGACTGGCGGACGCATTCAACCATGATGGAAAAATCTGTGAATCGAAACTGTTGTTGCTGAAATCACTGTCAGACACAAGTTTCGAAAGTGTCAAAGCAGCGAATTAAAATGTCAATGTCGCTCGACACTGACTTGAGGTGCATGTCAAGGAATTCGAATATGGCAGAGGAACACATACACTACAAGTGAAGATCGTAACTGTCTGTGACAACCAACTGCATGAGATTTAAAGAACAGTGATAGATAAGCTGCATCAAGCGTATGGTGAAGCTTACTTACACATACTCAAGCTTGGTGAGAGCACTGAAAACTGGCACAGTCCCAGTCAGCCGATTGTTGGACACACGGCTAACGACGAGAACATGAAACACAAAGAAAAGAGCATCAGCTGACCAAATCGGTTGACATTACCATTAACACATCAGGAATACTCTTACAAAGTGGATTTCCTCTAAAACCATTGTAAATCATCACATCAAGGTTCTTGAAACTGCCAAATGGAATGAGAACCTGAATGATGAACCTAACAGTCTCTCAGTGCATTTGCCAACATGAGAGGTCATGAATGAACACAACATCGAGGAAAGCGAACAAAGACAGGGACAGAGAGTTGGCCATACATTTGAAGCAACCCTCTGGTGCCATTTGTGATGATCTTGTTCAGTGAAGAGGGAATTGGACCGGTCAGCTCATTGTAGTGAACATTCCTGTTGCACATGAAACCGGGTGGAGGCCTAATGAGACAAGTAAAATAACAATCTATTCGAAAAGATTACATGAAGGTAACCGCACAAGCCGAGAACTAAGCGGCTATTACTGTTTGTAAGACAATGGCAGTGTCACAACAAAAATGATACCACATCCGTTCGCAGAGCACTGTTGACAAATCCTCTTCATTGGTGAGTGTCAAGATTAAAACATCACAAACCAAAGCTAATGCATCATAAAAAAATAGCACATAGCTTACAGGATCTCAAGGGCGGAAAGATTTCCAAAAGTTCCTGGAATCGGTCCAGTGAATTTATTGACTTCCAGGAGCCTGCACAACCCGAAAAACGAGATCAATGCCTTCGTAAATGCTTCAATTAGGACACAAAACAGAAGATCATCTTGTCCTAAACTGGTGGTCAACGTGACATAAGACTTGCTAGACCTAATAGTACATGTAAAAACTGCAGGGGTAGAATGCGAAGGAATAAGCATGAAACAAATCAGGAATATCAATAAACTACAAAAGCTTACTCAAGCGAGGGCAGTTCAAAATAGACAGTGTGTGTGAAGAACTCACATGTGTATACATTTTGGGGCCTTCCCAAGTTCAGGTGGAATGGGACCAGAGAAAAGGTTGTCATTCAAATGGCTACAAAGCAAAACACCAGCTGGTTTATTATGCTGCCAACAACATGAATACAAATCTTGACTATAACAATAGCATTCGGAGCACATAGCAACAGCCTCAATAATTTGGAGCGGAAAATCGACCGAAATGAAATCTGGCAAGGGAGATGAACATGTCTTACTAGTGTTCAATGACTGGCCAGGTATCAAGTCCCATTCTCTCGCGATTGTTAGTTGAGACAGGCAAAGGTCCCGATAGTCGGTTGTAAGCGACGTCAAACCACTTCAAATGCGTAAGCGCACCAAGAGAAGGTGGAATAGATCCTTCTAGCATATTGTTATTTAGAGCGCTGAGAACCACGACCACACACTTCACTGTCCAATTCGCACGAAAACATACTATTTTGGAAAGACGCTAAAGTTTTTGAATTGTAGAACATACAATAAAGTTGAAGATGCTGTAACTATGCTATTAAGGTCAACTGGCCAACATCTCTTGACATCTCTTGACAGTAAAACAGAAAGCTACACAAAACTAATTGACAACTGTTGGATCGGCTAATTTGTCGTTGAAGTTTCTTTATGTGAGGATCAGACATTATAGAACCTAGCTAAATCTAGACACATTACAATGAAGTTGTAGTTCGTGACCAAAGAGAGATTGCTTGAAACTCACAGGAAGGTCAAGTTCACCAGCTTCCCCAATGAGGAGGGGATTTCTCCTTTGAAACTGCACTTCTGTAAACTCCTGTAAGAATTACACATCTAATTATCGAGTGATATGAAACACAGCAAAATCAACGAAACACGCGAACACCAAGTACTAGAGGTACCAACACAATATTTTCTCTACACTTGTCTACTATCAGAGCTAAAGCTGCATGAGAACATCAAAAGTTCAATGCGTGCGTAACTTACAGATAGAATAGGTTGGTTAGTGAGCCTAGTTCGTCAGGTAGAGCTCCTCTCAAATTATCGTTGAATGAAATATCCCTGCGTGCAAAACCGTTCAACAAGATCAGCATTTCACGATGTAGAAACGCCCAAGCTCACTCTACTCAAGCTACAGGAGTATTCGTGCTTCAAACCGACTGAACGGGTGCAATTATTGGTCCAAAGCAAGTGAAAAGCCCCAAACGTAGTAAATTTCCATCAGCTTCATGACCCGTTCTTACTGCGTTAACAGCAACCACCAAAAAAAAACCCCACTTACAGATTCTGAAGAGCTGACAGGCCGCCAATTTCCGGAGGAATAATTCCATTCAGGTCTCTGCTCACCAAATACCTACACAAGAACGATGTAAACAAAACAAATCCATTTCAATGTTGAAAGTGAAGAAATGCCAAGTTTGCAGAAAAGTGAAAGAAAAGTAGATTACCAAGATAATAAATATGAGCAAGGTTGGAGTGCGCGTACAAGGATATCACTCGATTGCCTTTACAAATAACACCCTCCCATCTATCGACGCAAGGATCTGGGCCGACCCACATATCCGTGCCTCCACCCCAAGCCATCTTCAGAGCTTGCAGAGCCCTTACTGCACACACACAAAGCAACCATTTCACTGATTTCATTTCCCCGCGCTAACGCAAAATTCACAGAAGACAATCGCGAGAAGAGGTGACGTTCCTTCAACACAGACTTGTTAGAACCCCGCACTGAAATGTAACATCCTCCTCGCACATGTCAATGTAGTGAACTGCAAAACCTAAGTGTCATACCAAACAGGGGCTCGATCGTACTACTACGATGCTGAGGTAGCACCTCAAAGTGCATATAGACGCCCACGGGATAGACTTAAACCTGGAAGATCTGCCTCGAACACTGCAGTGTGTTCGTCTGCTGAAATGGTTGTAAAAGTTCATAGCTAAGAATTCTACCCTTTTGGGCCGGGGAAAAAAATGAATCTCTACGCTCTAGGTGCTGGATCGAAAGGCAACTACGACACCCAACAGTGGACAAGGAAACTTGCTTGAAGGCCTTCTGTTTGGCCAAGTTGTGGACTTGCACAGGTCACTAGACTGTTACAACAACAAACAAACAAACAAAACAAGCAAAACAAAACAAAACAAATGAAAAGAAACAGTACTTTCTTGTCTGGCAATCTACTGCTGACAGTGGAATCTCTCCACAGTCCCAAAAAATCGGATTAGTAAGCACATTAGCTCCTGGTTGATTGAAGTGATGAGCTTACAATCATCAAAATTAACCGGTTCCCCCGCAGCGAGAAACCAACTTGAGTGAAAGCAACTGGCTGCAAGGGCCAGGCAGAGGCAAAGCCTCATGCAACGAAACAATTCCATTGTTATTGTTTTCCCGGCTGCTTCAGCACCTTGCAATCTACACCCCCAGCTCCAAACCGTCACAAGAACTTAAAGCTGATCTCACTCGTGAAAGCAAACCCACTATGTTTTGAATGCATCTGTCATAAGACTATCGGCAGCATGTATCCGGCCAAACTCCATCCTGCGAACTGCAATTTTCAATCGCCTTCACGTAAGCGACCAGAATCCTGGATCAATGAGGTCTTCTAAGAACTTCGATGACGATGGACTTCCCGTGCGCAGCTTTACTGAACTACGATGAAGGGTCTGTCCAATGGTGCGTGTGGCACACACACTCTCAAGCTTTCAACCCACCCTTGCGCTGCATCACCGCAGACGCCTTCTCTTCAGAGACCACAACCCTGAGGACCTGAAGATTAACGTCAAGCTCCTGAATCTTCGGGTAGCAGAGTACCCTCTGAAGTACCATCTCATGTACCGTCCAGGTAACGATTTGCGCCGCAAATAACCTGAATACACACACTGACAGCAATCAACTTGAGCTCAAGTTGATTGCCAGCAATCGCATGGACCTATAAAAGACCTCCACTATCACCTCGACTTGTCGAATTCTGTCAACTGGGTCCAGATTAAAGTAAGAGGACACTGAGAACTGCACCAGAATAGTAAAGGGCAAGAATAGCGGGGGAGGCATCAAACCACATCTTCGATGCGGTCACGGTAAAAATGTTCTACCGACAATTTCCATCCCGAAGTTACAGCGCTAGATGCATATCTGGACCACATGTCATACAGAAAGTGTTATAAAAACGCTGTAAAAGTATAGAAAAAGACTAATTTATTTCAAAAATAGATTGGAACACAATACATCCAACTGTATCAAAGCTTGGCAGATTCTGCATTACAACACGTTTTTATCAATGGATCTTATCGGTAGATTAAACATGTAACTGATATATTAGAGTGAGCTTTGTGTCAGAGGTGGACAACAATAGGGGAAGAATCACTAAACATTCATTTTAAGCATTGAGATCTTTTGCACTTTTACTCCAGGTTTAGAAGGGAAGAAATGGCTACTAGTACTAAATTTATAAACTAGAAATCATATTCATTTTGTGCACAAGTCTTCCAGTGCAAAAGAATGATAACGACAAAACCATGTGTATTGTCAGATTGTTAAATTTTATTTCGGTGCATTAGAAGCTTAAGCAAATCTAGTCGTGTTTGAAATTCTGAGTATTTTGATCTCTTATCTTGTAACAAAGACACGATAACAATTTACAAAACTATTTATAATATCCGTAAATGAAAATAAATAAATAAATGATGACATTGTGGTAGAAGTATTTCAAAACCAAGTATTTTTTTTTTAAGAAAATAAAAGACTATTCAAATGCACTTGTGGGTTCTTGTTCAAATGAATTTTTTGCATATCTAATTAACATCTTAGGGAATTGATATAAAAAATGAAACTTGTTACTGTTGAAATTTAAGAAAAGAGTAGTGTGTAGGTTTTGCTCATAATAATTTTATTTTCAAAATGTACAATAGTGCCTTATTTTTAAACAATTTTTTAAAAAATGATGGTCCTTTGTATTTCCTTGTTGACCACTTTGAATGCTAAATATACTTCTCTCAAAAACCAACATCTAGCATGTATGCTACTGAAAGCATGTCCTGTATATGAAGTTCATTTCGTTTCATTAAGAGTGCATATTACAAAAGATTGTAGTGGCAGTATTATTTAGAAGAGAATCAAAAAAAAAAAAAAAAAAAAAAAAAACAACAACAACAACAACAACAACAACACTTTAAAAAATATTAATTTAATGTAAATAGTGATTTGACTAGTGAAGGAACAGTAAAAACATGAAAAACGTTGAACAACAATTCTATCTCCTTTCAATATTTTTTAAACTATAAACGACAAAGTTGCTATCCACTACCTCCAAGATTTGAGTATGATACAACTTGTCATAGCGTAAACTAGTAAACTACTTAGACCAGGGTCAGTGATGAAGAGCAATGCAGCCTGCAAAGAGCTTCTGGGTCCGAATCATTAATAAACCAAAAAATACACGAATTTCCTAAACTAAATAACATAAATAAATATTTATTTTTTTATTTATTGAAAACGAAATACAACACTGAAAATGAATATTCAAAGCCCTCTTTGTGCAAAAACTGGAAGTTGGACCAGCCTCAACCCAAGACAAACTAGCACTAGAATCTAACAAAAAACAATAAAGTATAATGGAGAAGTATAATGTACATGTCACATATCAAAACCTTCACATACTTACTTTAAAAATGATATTATTCATTGTTATGTATCGAAGTTTTACAAATCTCAGTTTTGGCATTGGTGATGAACTTGTCTTGTCATCCTCTATGTCAACAAAATTCAAAAGAAACCAAATTGTTTTTATAGTAATATTCCACAAGGTTTTTTTATTTTTTTATTGTTTAATGTATGTAGTTTCCATGATTTTTTTTTTAATAGTTGAATTTTTGAAGAACTGTTTATTTAGTCCTTGCAAATTTATGAAAGTTCCAGTATTTTTAATATATTGTTTGCTCAAGACAAGGGTGTAGTTGGATGTCTCTTGGCTTTAGAAATGTGCAAATACATATTATTAGAGCTGTACCATTATCAAATATGAAGTTTTTTCAACACAAATATTTTTAAGACGTCTAAGAGTTGATAAAGTAAATACATATTGCAAAAGAAATAAAATTGCATAACTTAGATTTTCATAGATTTATGATTCTTCTTTGGACTATTAGCAAGCTGTAGTAAAATATTTTTCAGCAATTCAAAATTGCATCGAAAAATTTATATCCATATAACTAAGAATTGAAAATTGGTGTTAATTATGTTTGTGTTTTAAATTTTATTAGGTACATAATTTGGATCTGCCAATTAAATAAATAAAAACTAATGTTAGATTGTTGTAACAGAGAAGTGTCTTTTCAACTACAATCTGTAATAATATGAGATACACATGGTTTCTATAATCTTTGTTTTCCTTAGAAGAAATTTTGCATGATTTTTTTTACATTTGCTAATATATACAGATATAAGAATTGGATAACTTTTAATTTAAAATCAAATCAATATAATTTCATCCTAGTTCTGAATTGTTGTTACTTTTATTAGCACACTATTGTTTTATAAAAATTTATAAAAAAATAAAATCAATATGCCACAAAAAGAAGTAAGTACAAATCTTTAAAAAAATAATTAAATAGTGATGAAGAATCTAAGGTGGAAAAAGTCTTGGATTTGGATTTGAAGTAGTACTAAAATAAATCAGAATGACTATACTATATATTGGCATGGATATAATACCAAAGAGGAAGGTATAAGCCATCTGAGAATCTTGTAATTATAACAAAAATAGCTTTGCATTTTCATTTATAACATCTGTAAAAATTAAATAATAACTATAAATGAGAATACTAAAAAGTTGAAAGAAAAAAAAAATAACACAGAATCATGCATTAAATTTTCATTCTAGAATTATTGTTCTAACTTTCTTATATACTTCTTGAGTCTAAAATTTTCTTTAAAAATTCTTCGGTAAATTAAAAAATCAAAAACCCATAGATTTTGTTTTTTTATTTTTTCAAAATCATTTGTAGTACCACTTGATGACCCACTTGTGTTGGGAAAACCTTTTCAATTTTAAATCGATAAAAAAATATAAATTAAAATATATAGATATAGATATATATATATATATATATATATACTTTAAAAAGACAATAAGATACAAAATATTTTATACCACAACATTAACAATTGTTTTGCACATATTAGCAAAAAAATGTTAGCTTTCTCATTCTCGATTTATAAAAAATTGATTATAAATACAAAGTACAGCCAAATGTTAGAGTATATGTAATAACACAAAGATTCAACCTTCCAAAAGTACATATTTTACCTAAAACTTACTCAGATATCCCCAAAATTATGAATAAAATCTACGTCTTATGGAGCCGTCGGTGGAAACGTATGCACACCGTTTGGTCAGATGCATTGAACGGTGTGAAGAACCACGTCACTCGTGATTCGCGGTAAGATTCGGCAAAGAGGAGAGAGTGTCGGCGTGGTTTCTGCAGCTTTTAGCGTTGCATCGGGAGTCGGGGTCGGAGGGAAAACTGCTTGTTTTGTGATTCAGGGAAGCTTTGAATCAGGAAAACTGTTTCCTTATATTCCTTAACAATTTTGAAGCAATACTTTCTCTGTTAAGCAGTTTCTAAGGGGTAAGAAGTGGTGCCAACGACAGTCCCTGGTATTCAGTGTTCAAAGAATCAAGCTTCACATACTTCCCTACATTTGTATTTGATTCCAAGTAACATACGAGTAATCGTGCAGTTCGATATCGGGCCCTGTTCGCAGTGGGAATTGCGTTCATGGGCTCGCAACTTGAAGATGATGGTGTTTAAGTGATATGTATCCGTTGTGAATTTGATGAATTCACAACAAGGAACTTGACACATTTCTACCTGCAGCGTGTGTCAGTCGGTCGTGGACATATCCCCACTCAGGGGGGTGTCGGGTGGAATCGAGTGCGTGTTGGGCTGCAGTGGTAGATAGGCATTGGAATGAGCGCTGTGGGAAGTGAATATGGAGGGGGGAGTGTGTTGAATCGATTCCTACATTTGACAATGTCCTGCTTCTTGCAAAGCAATTTTGGTCTTACATTGCTAAGAAATCGGGTGAGTTTAAAGATTAGAACCAGAGTGATGAGGGTGTGATTACTGCGGATCGAAGTTTGTATATGGTGTGGATTAGAAGCACGATGGAGGGTGGTGTGCGATGTGGTGCAGCTAAGTGGGATGGTTGCGGTGATGGTGGGTGAACGATGGATCCACGGTACCCTTTCATCGTAAATGGTAAAAAAATCTCAGTCTGCCGATGTTAGAGCGATTGTGCACTGTGCATTTGTGTGAAGTATGGATGGAGCATTGGTTTTCTTGTTAGTGGCGAGTGGTTTTAGTGTAGCGAAGGGACGTATTGAAGTGATCTGGGAGATGTCTGTGATGGATGCGATTTGTGTGTAGGATGACAATAAATTCCTCACATGGGGTGGGGATCCATACGCCACGAAAGGTGTTTGAGGGGCAGTAGGATCCATTGTCCGTTTGGATCTGTCGAGAATGCATGGCAGCACAGTGAAAGTTTGGCATGAATATGATTGTTTGTCACTGGACTTGCGTGCGGTGGTGGAAGGAATAGGCGAGGCTGGAGGAGGGATTTGAAGCAAATTGGGTGAATGGTTGACGTTGGTTTTTCCGTGGTGACAGGGCCCCACAAGGAGCAGTCAAGATTTTTTTGAGCATTGACAGCAAATTTCCTGCTGTTCGTCAACTCGCAATTGAAGTGAGCAGTTGATGGAGAGGTGCACGCATTTATGCGGGAATTGTCAATTGAATGAAGTTGCAGACACGATGATGCATTCGTACTGAAAAATAGTGATACGACGAGACGTCGGATTCAACGTGGAGATGATATCCTTACGTAGTTATGCTAATGTTGACAGGAATGCAGTTTGTGTCGGCTGGATGTTGTTGATATGGAGAAAGTGGATGGAGGATCGGTGACCAAGCTAGCAGATGTTGATGCGGGGTGGTGGCTGCTGGTGATGTGTCTTACATTGCGACTTGCAGTGGGAGGGTATTTCCATCGCGGCAGCTTGCAGTTGTTTCACGAGTAGATGATTGCATTTGTAAGTGATTGTGCTTGTTCCACGGAATGTGTTGTCCGTGCTCTTCATCTGAAATGCTCGAAGGAGACGTTTGCATACAACGCTGGCAAGAGTGATGGGTAATGGAAGGTTGGGAGTAATGCGTGGTGAAGTAGGGCGTGACGAAGATCTGTGATAACAGCGAGCTAGTGTTCCCGTGTGGTAGTTTGAAGATGGATCGTAGTCTGGGCGATTGCAGTTTTGGTAACCAGATGTGGGAAGCGCATGGTTTTGGTGTAGGTGAGTGGAGAAGATCATGAGGCAGTGAAGAGGTGCTAGAAGGTATTGTTGTGAAGGCTGAGAATACCTTGAGAATTTAATGGAAGCTGGAAATGAGATGCATGAAACCACTTGGATATGGTTCTTCTTCTTTATATAAAACTGATGAAAGTGTCACATTGTTTGACTCTTGGGTAAAGGTGAAGGAAAACCATATAAACAAAACAAAAGAAAATGATGGCTTGTGGATGTGGGATTTGATGCAGTAGGTGATGCTGTGTCAAAGAGGTGAGGTATGTGTGAAGGTGAATCAGTATTTTTTTCCCATGAAAGATACCAGCTGTTGAGTGACTGGGTGGAGTGTAGTGTGAGCAAATGCTGATGATGTTTGAGGATTCTGGAAACTGCAGCCTTTCTGGGTTGTGGCAAAATCATGTGTGAGCTTGCTGTATCATCTCTGTGTGTACCATGGAACTGTATGAGGGTGGAGGTTTGGATGTCCATGCAGTCTATTGTATGCAATAGTATGATGAAGCACATGAATGGAGGTTGTTGTGATACACAGTTGAGATAAGGAACAATTTCTAGCTCATAAAAAGAGAAGAGAAACAAAAGGTAGAGAACAGGAAATCTAAGGTTTATGGTTCTTAATAGTATTGGTTTAGTGAGGAAAGTCTGTTTGAGTTCTGGTTCATCCATAATTAGATTACAGTTCACTGCCCCACCTATTGTTGAGTTTACACTAATCTGGGTGGTGATTTATTAGCTGTTATCTGAATGTGGGCAGTCAAACATGTGATTGTCCTGTCTAAACAATCTGTTTATGTATTGCAGAATCCTGTTTGCTCATCTGTTGCTGTAGCCAACTCTAAATTTGGTACAGTTTCCCTGATGAAGTCAAAACCTGATAGAAACTAACTTTTCACTTGTACCAAAATATAGTAGAGGACTGTGTTCATAAGATCTCACTCTAGAAACTCACAAAATGAATATAGTGAGATCTCACCAAACTTGTATGTTTATACAAAAATAACTAAACAAAATAAAGGCAGGATTCTGATGAGCATCAAGTTCACATTTAGATGCTGGTTTTTCTTTCATCAGAATCTTAGAACTCATGGGGTTTCATCACTTTTCCAAATCATGAAATAGTTTCCAGTGGGCTTCTCATATTAGATGTTCATTTCTGCAACAATTATCTTTCCTGCTTTTGCTGAAGAGACATCTCAGTGCAACCTTTGTCGGCAGCCTTTTGTAGCTAGTAGGTACTTTGGGAGCCGATATTGTACAATTTATATGACTTGTGTAAGAGATTCACTATGGACCATACATCACAAGCCATGGCTCCACAAAGCATGTAATTGACTTTTTTTTCTTTGCTTGGATCATTACTAATTCCAAGAATTTGAAATGGTAAAGAGTGCAATCCAAGTCTATAGTGTGTCTTTTGAAGAGCAGCTAACCATGGCTACAGAGGCAGGCATTGTTTTGAAAAACTCACCTTCTAAGGTCTAATTTAGCATCATTTGCCCTAGTCTATGTCATGAAGGTGTGCTTCCTTTTTTCTTTTTATTCCTTTTTTTTTTTTCTCTCCTCTCACATTTTTTTTCATTTTTCTCTTGTTTTTATTATTAAAACTCTATACTACAAATTTTATTTGATTAAAGTTAGGGTTGTTGGAAAAAATGCATTAAAATTCAATGTGGTACATGAGTGAGTGAACCAAGGGATCCTCTGGCATCATGGCAAGGAATAGAGGACTCTTTTTGTTATCAATTACATTGTTTTTAACAACTCAGAAGTCACAGTTTTAAAAGTTTGCAAAAAAAAAAAAAAAAAAAAAAAAACATTATACTGTTTCAACATGAATCAATTGTCAAACACACTTGAATGTTGGGCCCAGCCCCAAATTCACATCACAATTGTCATAATTATGCAAAATCAGTTAAGCTCCCACATACAATACAAAAAGAAGATTCTCCTCCTCAAGAGCACATGATACATCCCCCCATACTTCCCTTAAATATGCCTTATGCTTAGACATGCTTGCATCCCCATGAGGTGCATGGAAAACATGTTCACAAGATGACAAAAAAGCAACCCACCATGGATGAATGGATGGAACAACAAACAAATGCACAACATGGGAACAGTACCACAGCCCATTCAATCTGAAAATGTCCCCAACTGGTACCAGAGCCTTACCAGAACTTGGCAGTTTTAAGGCTATCCAAGCCACTCTTCCTCAAAGATGGAAAGCTGATGCTGCTGCTGCTTTCCCATTTGGATTTATTTTGCCAAATTCATCACATGTATTTCTCATTTTTAACTATGCTCAAATTGTGGATAGTAACCCACCCTCCAACCTCAAAACAGAAACCCTAAACCCTAAAACGTCATAAAAACCCTAAACCCTAAAGTGTTGGAGACACTACTACTACTTCTAAGTGTTGGTTGCAAGGGAGAGGGGGGGGGGGCAACAAGGCTGGCTGAGACAGGGGAAGTGCAGATGGTGACAGACAGAAAAGGGAGGGGGGTTGAGTTTTGTTACCCACCCACTGTGTGTCCTACCTGGAAAGAGAGACCCCCCCCACCTTCCCCCTTCAAGGTGGCTTGGCTTGCACTAGAAGGAGGAGAGATAGATGACCATTGTGATGTGTCCCTTGCTTGCCCCAGTAGTAGTAGAAGTAGTAGTAGTACACTCCCCTGGTACTACTGATCCAGACTGAAGCCATTACTGAGGGAGATAGATAGATAGACAGACAGGGAAAGATACTACTCACTCAGAGTGAGACATACTCATGCTCAGAAAGACCCTCCCTCCCTCCCTCCCTCCCTCCCTCAGTCATTCCAGCCCCATTTTTCTGCTACACCCAACCTTCTGTTTTTTCTCTCTTTTCTTACCCCCCTATTTCCCCTCATCACATTCGACATTCTTGAAGAATGCCCAATGCTATAAAAAAAAAATACATATAAATATTTACACAATGTCTTCAAAGTCCAGTGCAACATACTCACACTCACACACACACAGGATTCACAGCAGGGTAGATAATCAATCCTCTGTAGCCTGGCTGGCAAAAACTGGAGGCTGGTGATCCAGCAGTAGTAGGACCATTCTGAGGGTGGAACAGTTGCAGCATCAATTGAATCACATGGGCATGTTCAGGATAGTATCTGATATACCTGGAGGAGGAGAAAAGGAAAAAAACAAAAAACAAAAAACAAAACAAATAGCAGCAACGGATTTTACCATAGCTTACCAGCAGGGGCAACAGAGAGGCAGTGAGTGAGTGTTGTAAGTGTAAGTGTAGTGTAAGCTTTGTTGTGTGATCCCATTGAAGGGCTGTTTTTGTTTCTCTTATATCCTTTCACCACGATACCATGGGGTACAAAAGGAACGGGTATCAATTTATGAAAGCAGGCTCAGCAGTACTAGAAGTGGAATGAATTGCAGAATGAGAGAGTTGAGTTGTGTTGAGTTGAGGGTCAACCCTGGGGTGGTGATGTACTTACTGGTTGGCATCGCATACACAGTTCCCATAATAAAGGTTAGCTGGGAATGTAAAATAATCAATTAATTAAACAACAACAACAACAACAACAACTCTTCCTGAGGACTGTCCCTGTGTGAATAGGGCACAGTGCATAAAAATGGACAATACTTTCACTGATGTTGGGTACTTTGTGCTTAACACATCAAAGAGAATTTGACTCAGCTTTTTTTTCTTCTTTTATTCAATATATATATATATATATATATATGATGATGTCCCATTTTGCCCTTCAGTGATATTGTGTAAAACACATCCAATACAAACATTTGATGCATCATACATTTTTGAGATTTTTTGTTCATTGATATTCATGGGGACTGAAATATTGAGGAGCTTAAGTTTGAAGCTTGGACTACTTCATTTCTCAGGCACTCAAATCTAAGACTGCCAAGTCCTGATTGTGTAAAAGAACTGGAGTATTGTTGTACCAAGCTCTCATCCATTCAACTCATGTAAACAAAACATGCATCAAATACAGTATTGCTTTCTTTTAAATATGCATTTTTCTTGTCCACATTGATGATTGTGAGCTCCAACAAGGGCTCAATTCAGGAGTTTGTTGTCCTACTTGTACCCACAAGCTTGGGTAGAATGTTGGGCCTCTTTTTCAAGGACGTCAAAATGATGGTAGAAGTCAATTTTGGCATTTTAAAACACACTATCAAGTATCATCAATTTAACATTCAGTTTTTGAGCACATATTGATTTTCCAAAAAAATTCCACCCAACTCCAAAATATGAATTGACAATTCACCTCACCACAATGGCAAATCATAACCCCTCCATTTTTGCTAATGATGGTTGAGGGACTTGGCAAGGAATAAAACTTTTTGCCTTTTTTGTCTCTTTTCTTTTTCTTACACTTTTTCCACATGTGGTTACATTCTTAAGTAGGAGTATCACAATCAGCACACACAATCAACTTGGCAGCAAAGCTCATACATCTTTCCACTGTAAGAAGTCTTTTCATGAGAATTCTGCAATTTGCTGCCAGAGAAAGTGGGAAAAAAAAATATTTACAAATGGGACATGTAATCTTCCCAATATTGTTTTTGAAGGAAAAAAGAGAAAAGAAAAAATGACATAAAATCTCAAAACATATGCAAATGTTTTTTGTGTTTGTAAAAAATTAAAATCTATCTATGTATATATATAGTTAGTTAGTTAGTTAGTGTGCACATGGACCCATGTACTAGTAGGCATTGTTAAGGCTATTCAATTTTGTATGGACAATTCATTTATGCAACTTTGCATGGTGATGGCCCCATGGAAATTGAAAGTTAGGTTATCTAAACTTGTTGGCTAACACCCAAAGCTTACAATCTTCATACATGCATCGGTTCAAGTTGTTGAAAATTTTAATGGTACTCAATTTATATTTGGAGTAGCCAAGAGATTTAAATGATTAATAAAAAATGAAAGTAACTTTGCAAGGATGAAAACAACTTCTTTGAAATTTTAGTAAAACTTAATTTAAGCAATGTTTGCACAATCAGTGTTTCAGCCTTCATGCTATAAAAAACAGGCTCCTAATTATCAAAAATTCTAATCCATATGTTCTTGTAGCTCTCAATATCTATTGCTTTTAGAATTCTGAACATGTGCTCAATCCTAAGGGTTGTGATTAAATGATATCATATTGGTGATTACCAATACACTCCTTGAATGAAATTAAATGAGAGGTTTCTAATAATCAATTTAATGCATTTAAAAATAACATTTAGAGTATTATGTTCTAATGTCACATTTTACTGAAACCAGAAAGAATACATGTTTGGTATTAAGAAAGAATACAACATTTCCTTTGAAAAAACATACTTCTTAATAAATATCATATTGCACATAACTTTTGGTGCAAAAAAGTATACAAAATTTTAGAATAAATAATCTACATAATAAGAAAAATTAAGCAAAAGTCAAATAGACAAAGAAGCCTTCTCATTGGCCAAAATCAAAGAAATTAACCAACAAAAAGCCCTGCATAACTTGCACAAAGACCTCCAGTTTATTATTTATAAACAGCTGTTTGGTAACCAATGGCATGGGTCTCTGCTAACAAATAACAACTCATAATAAGCAGAATTCAATATACACAACCTGTAACAAATCTTTGATATAGAATTTGAAGGAATAAAAAATAGTTACTACCACATTCTTATTCTTATAGGTAAATTGTATCCAAATGCAAACCAACAATTACACAAAATTCACAAATTCTAATCATCTTGAACTGAATAGAAAATATGAATGCATGTAGTATTTTTTGATCTTTTGGTATACTTACACTCACACACACACATAACATTTCACCAAACAATATCATAGTGTAGTGGGGTGGTAAAAGAAAGGGCCACAGGGGGGAAGGGGGAATAGCAGGCTGAGCCATCACTTAGTCAATCAATTGGAGATGTATAGCTGACACAGCTCACTTACACACAGCCAGCCCTTGCATTCCTCTTCAGCCATCAACTCATTTCCATTTCATTTGTCAGTGCCCAGCCCAGTGAGTGATGCAGATATCCATTGATGAAGCAGAAGAAGAAGAAGAAGAAGATACTCCCAAAAAAAAGAAATTAGAGGAAGGAGAAGATGTTGCAATTGGGCTTGGAATCATCAGTGTAATACATTCACACCCTTAAATGAATGGATACATACACAAAAAACAAGCCTGGCTTCCAAGGAAATCTACCACGATCAACTTGTGAGTTTTGTAGTACCATTTATGTGGTGTTGAAAAATGGATTTTTAAAAACCATTCAGTAATTCATCTTTGATATTATAGGCTATCAGTTCATTGATTCTAGTTTTTGGTAGTAAGAAACAAGGGACCTTCTCACACAAGATTGGGTGTCAAAGAGCTGGATGTATCCCCCCCCCCAAAAAAATACATTACACACACACACATATATATATATACATACATACATACATACATATATATATATATATATATATACATACATAAAGAATGTTTGGATTGATTACTCTCATTCAGTGGGAACATTACAAAAAACATGTTTGTCATAAAATGATTTTGCTCTGGTTGATCACATGGAGTGTGTTAAATGCAAGGGGTTAGGTTGGTACACTCCCACAACCAGATCATGGTCTTGTAAGTCAACTTCACAGCAGTGGATACAAAGGAACAAACCCTAAATTAAACCAACAAGTTAGTTTTTTTGTGGGGTTTTATATCATTCCCTCAAGCCGCTTGTGTTAAAAAGACTGTAGACAGATGAGACCAGGGTCAGTACATCTACCTGGCAGCAACAGTTCCAGTATTTCATTCACCTGGTTATATCATGGGACAATTTGACAAAGAGGGCTTTATGAAAATGATACCCAAAAACAGTCAAATGGGGGCAACATCAATTCTATTTATTCATCCACACATATAAAAATGAAAGTGTTACCCCTTTATTCCCCAGATAGCAGAGAGATTGTCCTGGCCCTAATTTTCTGTGCCATGGGTGCAACAAAGGGAATGAATTAGGTGGATGTGAATGTGAAAAGGACCTTGGCCTTTGTATTGTTGTTGTTGCAGTAGTTGTAGAAGAAGACCTTTTCTATTTGCTTAGCTGTGCTCTACAGTTACAACTCATCAATAGGGTTGTTGTTGTTGCATGCATGGCTGTGCAAGGGGGCTGCAGAGCTTGACTACCAAGCTTCATCCTCTCCTCCACAAAAGCAGCCAATTCCACAGCCCTAACTCCTCAATAACACACAAAAATCTCTTCACTCCTCCATCAAGACCATTATGATGGGTCCTTTGTACAATGAGATCATGCCTCTGACAACAGGATGATCCCCATGGCTTGTTCATTCTCTTCAATACCAAAGCAACATTTAAATATTGCAAGAAAAATAAACAAGTTAAAAAAAGAGATAAAATAAGAAGAAGAATGGAGGGTTTTCAACATTTCAACATCAATCTGTTTCCTTTCTCAAAACATCCAGTTCTCAAACCTACACTTTTATTTTTATTGTTTTTTATTTTTATTTTTTCATTTACACCTGCTGGAACCCCAAATCTAATCTTGAAGCTCAGCAATAAATCATGTCATATGGAGGTTAGTGTGCCAGTGTATGATTGCTCACAGGCTTTGGCATTTTAGGAACAAGATGATTGTGAATTTGCTTAGGCCATCCATCCTTGTGTTTGTGGATCATGCTCCACATGTGTGAGTGTGTGTGTGTGGGGCATAAAGCATGATGCTTTGGAGTGGAGTATTTAATATAAAAAAACAGTGAGATTCATGGCAGCAAATGAGAAATCAAAATTCATAATCCTCTACCACACATCACCATTGGGTGCAAAGACCCACCCACATACCAAATCATTTTATCCAGCTTGTGTTGTTTGTTGTGGTGGGTGGGTGACCTTCCAATGGCTGTGATTCACTGAAGTCACTTCTCAGGGCAGTGAAAACTTGATACTGATGAGTTCAACTCTAAGTTGAGGGGTGAGTTTAATGCATTAAGGCGAAGGTTGGAAGGAGTAGGCGGTGAAGGAGAAGAAGAAGAAGAAGAAGAAGAAGAGTACTCTACACGACGAGAAACCGAGCTCCAGCAGGCTAGTAATTGGGGGGGGGAGGGGAGATAAAAAAGCGAGGAGGAGAGGAGAGGAGAGGAGAGAAGAGCAGAGCATTAAATGAAGGAGAGAGTGGGGGCGTGTTGTGGGCTACAGGGCCAATAACTCCCCCCCCCCCATTTGCAGTCCCCCTGACTACTGCGTGTCTGCAAGCTCTGCTGACAAGCCAAACAAAGCAGAGCTCACCAATTACTAGCCTGCTGATGCTGCTGCTGCGTCAGGATAGGGGCTTGATCAGGCAGTGCTGAAGAAGCTGGACTTGAGAGCAGCAGCTAACGGTCCGACCTGGTAAAGAATCGCAGAAAAAAAGAAAAAAAGAACAGAAAAACATGAGGAGGCACCCCCACCCTTAAGAAGCAGAAGAAGAAGAAGAAGAAGAAGAGTGAGTGAGTGAGTGAGTGAGTAAGTGGTGGCGGAGTTGTAATTGTAACAGCAGCAGCAGCCACACCCATCGATCGGCAGCACCCAACCTCATTGACGGTACCTGCACTGACGGCGCTCTCCACTAAGGGAAGAGGAAGAGCAGTAGGAAGAGAGGGGCTCTTCACAGCCAGCCTTCCTTCCTTCCCTTAAACTTTTCTAGTGCTGAGTTACACCTCCCTTTCTGCTGCTCCTGCTGCTGCACTGTCTGCAAGCCTGCCTGCCTGGCTGGCTGGAGCCTGGCCTGCTCGCCTGGAAGAGGAGGAGGGAGGAAGAGGAGAGATCATCGACTCCTCGAACCTCTCCTTCGCCCCTTTCCCAACGCTCACTTGCAAACGGTCTTCTCTTCTCCGCCACGCCGATCATTGCACAGCTCTGATTCTCGTCAATCATCACTCTGTCTCTCGCTCCCACTCCAATTGGGTCGCTCGCGTCCTCGCTTGATTTGCTCCCAGGATAGCACAACGGTGCCCCATATCTCTCTCTTCACCCGACCTTCTCATGCATTCCGGCAATGCAGCGAGTGCGTCGCTGGAGCTTTCCTCGCTGTGGGTGCGTGGGTTTTCGTAGTTTGAGAGCGATTTTGGCGTGAATTGGCCCACAGAGGTTGTCGTTCAGTGAGGCTACGTTTCGAGGTGTTTTTACAGCGAAAAATATCGTTCGAAAGTTGATGTATTTTGAGGTATTTGGATAAAACGTGTTTGGTAGTGATAAGGAATAGAGCATTACTTCCTCTGAAAGCTTTGAGTTGTGGCGACAATATGGATAGCTGTTGCGGCGAACACATTGATTACTGCTCGCTTCTGTCTGTGGAATCGTCGAGGGTTTGAGAGCTCTTCGTCTGGAACTTCTCATTGATCAGACACACAGCTTGCGAAGTTAACAGGTGCAAAGTTTGTAGAGCGGACGCTTTGATCTGTACTCGAGCTTGGTAGCTTCCACTGGTGTCAAGTGAGTGGGAGAGTGTTGGCTACTCCTTGTGCAAGGTAGCCACAGTTCATTTCGATTGTTCCAAATCTGGATCTCATCCAAAAGGACGAAGACACACAGCTCGCCGCATGTTATTATCACGCGAAGCTGCTGATCGTGACCAAGTTGCAAGGGATTTTCAATCCACTCACGCTCCCCTTCTGGAGCCGATTCGCAGAACTTTGCCGCTGTGTCGCAGTCTCTAACGAGCCCTTCGACCGCCCTAGTATTTTGATATCGGAAGAGTCTGAAATAATCTGGCACAATCCTGGAATTCTATCACACTAATCGACCCTGAAGCATTACACGATAATAACACCAATCGGTAAGTTAAATCGCCTTTCTCAGCTTGTACCGGAAAGGCTTCATTTCCTGCTGTTCGGTGTTTTGCGAGGTTGAGACTGACCTCCTGTCAAACTCCGGTCAACCTCGCAAGATCAGATTAATTGCTTGAGGTGATATTTCTGATTTGTTTCAGTAGCGTAATTGACACAATAATTGCTCTGCCCCGGAAGCATGATCCTTAGATTACTCCATTCGCTCTGGTAAGCCTCTTAATTATCGATGTCGTTTAACCAAACAATCACCCGTGAATCGTTTTCCTTCATTGCTTCCCAAATTGCCCCGTGGATACCTTTCATCAGTTAAATGCTTTACAGCAGCTACGATTGTACTGGTCGAATGCTCTCTACATGTAAGTGCTCAACTCTATATTATTTCAATGTTTGCAGTGCCCCAGTCCACACTGGTTCTGAAGGACTCAACGGGTATCATTGGGTGAGGATTGTGGAATCAGGCCTGCCATTTTCGTAGTGGACGAAGCTGTGAGTCGAATGGTGGACAAGAAACTGCGGCGGTGTAGCTGAACTTCTCGAAGCTCCAGACTACAAAAAAGAAGAAGCTAAAGGCTTAATCAGGGGCAACGAATTTGCTCACTTCTGATCAGTTCGACCCCACGCAGTTCAACATGGCCTCACCAAATTACGCAGAACGTCGAAGGTCTCACCCGAAGTCACGGCGTCAATCTGCTCTAGCGGTGGTGGTGGTGCTCGCCATTGTGAGCGCATCCCTTCTCCTACCCGTAGCCCACGCCCAGCTCCTGCATCCGATCGATATGCTTACGCTGCGATCCATCAAGGCCACCATGAACGATCTCCCCGGTGGAAGCTTCTTCTCCACATGGGTCTTCGCACTGCGAATCAACCCGTGTCAGTCCTTCGCCGGGCTGCAATGCGTCAAGGTCGGCAGCTTCAATCGCGTCTCGTCGCTGTCTCTCGGCCCGCCCACCGCCGGCTTACCAGGCCTCAGCGGCTCCCTTCCTCATTCCCTCGGCGACCTCTTCTACCTCCAGACCCTAACAATCTCATCCGGCGCTCTCCGTGGATCCATTCCCGACTCCATTGGCAACCTTCAGAACCTACGCACCTTCTCCCTGAGCCCAAATTATCTCTCGGGACCGATCCCCACCTCCTTTGCAAACCTCCACAACTTGGAAACCCTCCAGATCCGGAAGAACCTGCTGGAGGGGCAGATCCCGCCCGGGATCGGCAACTTAGCATCCCTCAAAGTCCTCGTCCTCTCCGAAAATCGTCTATACGGCCCTGTCCCTGAATTATCACAAACTCCCTTAATGCACCTCGATGTCCGCAACAACGATCTCTCCGGCGGACTCCCACCTCTCCCGTGCTCGCTGCAGTATCTGTCCGTGACGAGAAACCAGCTTTCTGGACCCATTAATGCCGTGGAGCCTCTCACCAGTCTCTCGTATCTAGATCTGAGCTACAATGAATTCACGGGGAGTATTCCGAGTGCGGTGTTTGAGTTCCCTCTCTCGTTTCTTTTGCTGAATCATAACCAGCTCCGGGGAGCAGTGAGCGTCCCCGCGGAGGTGACGATCTCGGTCGTGGACTTGAGTCACAACAAGCTGCAAGGAACAATTTCTCCCTACTTGGCCGGGACCCAGAGCTTGTTCCTGAACAACAATTTGTTTGTGGGCACAGTACCGCAGGTTGGTAATCCCCCTTCCAACATCTTTGATATCAATCAGCTCCATGAATACCATGCATGTAGTTTGTTGAAGGATTCCGTTCCGTTCCTTTCAAGGGAGTAACGAGTGGCGATGGAATGTGTGAATGCAGGACTTTGCGAATAAAATGCAGGAAGCAACGCTGCAATCGCTCTACCTCCAGCACAACTATCTGACAAACTCGGGGGCACTGGCGAACGCCGCATTGCCTCCAAGTGTGGCCGTATGTTTGCAATACAACTGTTTAGTGCCTCCTCCGCAGTCGCTGTGTCCGCCCAATGTGGACATGCCGGTCTCAAGGCCTGATTACCAGTGTCTCAAAGCAAGCTCTGGCTCACCGGGAGACTAGGATCGATCGATACCACCTTCTTCTTCTTCAAGCCATTGCTCTCCGACTGCTAGCTCGCCATTTTTTTTAGTTTTTTTTAGTTTTTTTTTGTTTGTTTTTGTGTATAGATGGGAACAGGGTGTTGTGTGTTTTTTCTTTTCTTTTCTTTTCTTTTCTGGTAGTTTCTGCAGACTGTCGATGCTTGGGTGAGCGCTCAGATATACAACAGAGCTCTCTTTCGTCAAGCATTCGATCGTAACTGTTCATGTAGAATGATCAATATTCTGTACGAAAGTTTCAACCATTCTTACGTAGCGAACGAAACTAGGAGGAAGTGAAGTCCCCAGTTAGTTGATCAGTTTTGGTTGGTGCACACAGGCTCCGCAATATCACATTGCTAGTCTCTAGAATTTCGTAGCACATCTTTGGATCGAACGTGCTCAAAATAGTAGGCAAAAACAAAACAAAACAAAACAAAAATATTGAGTTGGGCTGACTGGCTGACTGACTTTTGTTCCGAGGTTCTCAATGTTTTAAGGACATGCTCACTTCAGTGAAATATATGTAGTCTGAGATTATCCATTTACCATACAACATTTCCACTAACCACTCGATTGCATAACAATATGAAAAATGAGAATGTAAAATGAAATCCTAATGTGTCAATCTGACATTGACCATTTTTCATGCTCAAACTTGCATATATCATTAACCGAATCTCTGCCATTTATGTCTCCAACAAGTGTCGTTTGGAGTCATTTGACGTTTGATTGATTGAACGGCAGTGAGATTCAAACTATGTAAATGTAATGTGATATTTTTAAGCTTTAAAATTTCTGGAGTTCAAAGAGAAAAGAACAAAGAAAAAGAAAAAGAAAGAGTAAACATCTCAGAATGGAGGATATAACATTAAGAATCACAAATTTACAGTTAACCTATTCATACTATTTAATGGTGTTAGTAATTGTTTTACTTACAACTGAAAACTTTTATTAGTTTGTTTAGTTTCTTTATTTTGCAAAAGAAAAAGAGAACAAATGCAATATTGCAATAGTTATTATAAAAAATGGAAATCAATGCATGTAAAATTGTGAAAACTGATGGGTGAAGAAAAAAAAAAATGTAAATATGTATTTTGATTCTTTGTTGAAACTTTTCTATAATGAATAAAATTTTATACATTGTATTTCTGTTTTCAATTCTTTTCAATACAAAAATAATCCAATTAAGAAATAGTTGCAAATGACTCATTGACTAATTTTCAAAGCTACTTCGCTTTGAATAACCAAATTGTCTAACTTTTCTTGCAAATTTGGTAATTGTTCACTCAGTTCTCCAACGATTTTTATCAACATTTGTATCTTTTGATTTGCTTCATTTGTGTCTTCAATAATGCTTTTCTTGAAAGGGATACCTTTCCAATTATCATTTTTAAAGCTTTCATGTTTTTTGACAAGGCGTTGGTACATGGCAGTGGTTAGAAAAATCCTTGATCTTGATTTGTTCATTTCTCTTAACCTTGTCCTGTATTATGTTATCATATAAAAACAAGATAAAATTATAAATTTTCAAAATAAAAAAGAAAAGAAGAAATTAAAAAATCAAAATTTACTAATACTTTCTATTGAAAAAAAGAAAAGAAAAGTGTTAACAACATTAAGAATGTGTGTTTGTATATTGATATTCACTTACTTGGAATGCTCTTGTTGTAGAAGAAGTTCACTAAGATGTTCATTCAAGAATGAAATTTTATGATTTAAGGTGGTTTTTTGCGTTTCAAGCCCTTTTAACCTAGAGAAATGCAAATTAAATACCAAGCGTGATTTTTCAAATACAAAAGCTCAAAGTCATTGTAATAAGATATTTTCAAAAGAAAATTAGAGATTAGATATACTCACCTCGCATCACATTCCTCCACACTTTTATTGGTATTCTTAATTGTTTTTTTTAAATCTTCAACAGCTCTAACCATGCCAGCTTCAAATCCAGTTGGACCATCAATTCCTTTTTGATTGCTCATTGCCTAATCCAATGACTTTGGGTTTTAATGTATATTTTTATTTTTAAAACATATTTATGATTGATAATATATGTTTTCACATTTGAGTGATTGTAATCAACTTTGATATAATATTAACATTGATACCTAAGTCTAAAGTCAATAAAAACTAGTTAACATCTTAAAAAATTACACAATAAAAATTTATGGAAAAAAGAAGAAGAAAGAACAAGATTTTATTTATTTATTTATTTATTTATTTGTTATCATAAATTTCATGCATATTAAAGTACATTTTAAAAAAAATTTTAAAAAATTAACATTGAATTTTTAAAATTCTCTCTCTCTCTCTCTCTCTCTCTCTCTCTCTCTATGTATGTATGTATGTATGTATATATATATATATATAACAGCATATGCACTTGAAATCATTTTTTCTTTGTCTATAGGTGATGATTTGTTTTTGATGGTCTAATTTTACCCCTACTAAATATCCGTATTTAGCATAATTTCAGTTGTAATTATACAGTTTTTGAATACATAGAATTACAACTAATAGATATGTATACTAACATGAATATAAATATATAAAATTTTAAAAATAGGAAAAGGAGAAAGAAAAAAAAGAAACCTCCATTTTTGAAGTAATAACTTTACGACAATCCACTTTGAATTCAAGAATTCGAATCAGTTTTTTGCGTTTTAATTGAAGCATATTGAATTCAAATTGCATATGATCAATTGAATTCTTGAGTTTGGAAAGTTCTGATGATCCTATATTTGGATCTGTAGCTTCCTGTGATTGAAAAGCATTGATTGTGCATGCATTAAAATGCATTTTAAAATATATTTCTTTTCAAGTTTATTAAAGAAAAAATCATGAAAAAATGGAATATCTTGATGGTATTCGTATTTTTTGATGAATTGAATTTGTGTGTCTTTCTTTTCTATTTTCGTTATTTATTTATTTATTTATTTTATGTATATAAATTATGTGTCAAAACAATCCTTATAAAGAGGGATTTAAAAAAATGGTATATTAAAAAAAATTTCTAAAATTGGGTAAAGTATTTCATTTTTTTTCAGATAAAAAAACCCAAAATTTTTAAACTTATAATTCTGTGAAAAATTAACTTTTAAAAATTTATTTCTTTAATATTTACATCATTGGAAGGTATTATTTTACACATAATGACATTTCCAATAAATATTCAAATATATAAAATTCATTAAAAATCTTTCATAATATCATAAAATTAGATATGGTTTCAAAAAATTAAAGAATTGATTTATTTATCAAAAACCAGCCAGAAGTCAAAATGGTTTATTACTTATTTAGTTCATATCCTGATTTTACCTGAATTTGTATTTCGTAGGATATTTTGTACCTCCATAGCATCACGTGATGTTCCAACTCATCTAAATGCTTGAGAGCATGATCTTTTTCAACTACTAAATCATGAAATTGCGATTCAAGATCCATTGTTTCTTTTGCCAAGTCTTTCAAAATCACAACGTGTTGAGTTTGCATGTTCTTTGTAACATCAACCAATGAAGTCTCTAATGTGTTGTTTTTACCAATCAAATCATTCAACCTACACAATAAAGTAAATATCCTCTTTTTTTACATTTTCATGGGGAAAACATTAAAATATAGAGCGTTGTTTAAAACATTCTTTTTTCAATGTAAAATCCACAGAAAAAATTATCTTGAAAAGGAAAAAGACATAAATTTGTAATAAATATTAAGAATTTAATTAATGCAAGATAAAACAACTTGGATAAACGATACTTATTTTTTTCTTTCAACATGTTAAATTGAGTATTATTATTTATATAATTCAAGAAATTACAGTTTTAATATATATACATATATATATATATATATATACATATATATATATATATACATATATATATATATATATACATATATATATATATATATATATACATATATATATACACATGAACATCCTTGTGTGGACATGTGTATACAAACTTGGTACCTAGCAATTAAGTTTCGTTTTTGACCTATCTCAACTTGAAGGTCCTTTGAAGATTGTATTTGTATATTACATTGAGCATCAACTCGATATTTCCTTTGGATTAAAATTCCTTGATCATAAATTGCACGTTGCACTTGTTCACTTAATGTATTGATATCATTTTGAAGACCCACAAGTGAAGTTTGCAATGACAACCATTGCCTTTGAGATTCATTCGATTCTTTTAAATTTTGATTAATTTCAATCCTTAAGTTATATATCATAGCTTCCCATGGTGATGATGCATCCGGATGTGACATATTAGCAGTCAATTGCTCATATTTTTTATTTAGACGCATGATCTCTTTTGTTTTTAAGTCCACTTCTCGATCTTTTTGTTTGATCTCTGCATCAAATTTAAAGATGATATTATATTTTGCAGCAACATCATCATTCACCATTTTCAGTGCAATGTTTATTTCTTGATTATATGCTTGAACCGCAAGGACTTCACATCTAATAGAAGATAGTTCATGGTTTAGCTTTGTGGCCATGGAATCTTGTTTTTTCACTAATTTTCTTAATTCGCTAATATTTGCAACTTTTGCTTCTGCTCCTTTTTCTTCAAGGATCACTTGTTCTAATAGTTTTGACATTATTTTGGTCTCCAATTCATTAATTTTATTTTTTTTTCTTATGTATTGTGTATTGACTTCCTAAATGAAGAAAAACAAATCTTGTATTAGTTTCCAATTTTTTTTTATATGAATTGTGATATGAAATTTGCTTTAAACTCTATATGTATAGAAGAAAAACTTATACACAACAAAATTTGAGGTGAATATGTGCAAAAAAAAGTATATTTACCTTTATTGTAAGTTTTAGCTTTTTAATGTCTTCAACAGCAACTTTGATTTCATTTTTTACTTTTTCAACCTTGATAAGAACTTTTGCATATTGTTGATTTACTTTTGTGCATTGATTTGTCACATTGTTGATAAATTTTGCTACCTCTTTCATACTACTATCGATTTTCAAGAGTCTAAATTTGGCTCGATCACATAAATTATTCATCTTTCCTGTATCTTTTACGTATCTTGATTTTTCGATTTTTATTCCTACTTTCACCTCTGCTTGTTTATCAATCGCATCTCTTAGAAGCTGCAAAATACATACCACATGTGCATTGCATATTTACTTTTCATGCAAACTCATTTAAGATTTTGCAATATCAAAGACATAAACCATAACATTTTTGAAATTCTCTATATCTATATATAGACATACACACACACACACACATACATTAAAGTGAAATATGTTACAATTAGATGGCAGACTTATTAACCTTCACAGCATTATCACAACGAGTCAAGGCTATCAAAGTAGTCTTCCACTGAAAAGTAAGCTGTCTTTTTTCCGCATGAATAGAGGCCATTTCTATGTCAGCTTCTTTTAGAGCGAGGTTGGCAAAAAATGATTCTCTTTTCTGAGCTGAGATGTAAAATTTCTAGAATTATTCTCAAGAAAAAAAACAACAACCATCCATAAAACATTTCAAAGACTGCACACGTGCTCATCAACTTGTTTCTGAACTAGTGAATGATTTCGCAGCACAGCCATTAAAAAGGACCAAGGATCTTCTGTTTCATAATACCCACAGTTTTCAGACACATTCTGCCAACTTAACATGCTTGAAAAACTATAACCATGGTCAAAATGATAACAAAAACACACTCTGATACCACGTTAAATACATTGAAAGAGAAATTTAACAGTGTTCAGTTAATGTTGTTCATTTCAACTGCAACACAATCACCATGGTTGTTCATAGAAAGAGAGCCTGACAAACCTTCAAGTTGCCCTTTGGTCAGTTCGACTTTGTTCAGGATTTCTTGGATCCGAGTTTGGCAGTCGTCAATGGCCGCATCTTGCAGCTTCTTGAGGGACTCAATCCTGAGAGTTGCTTCTTCGGTTGCATATGTGGCACGCCTGTTCAATGCAATATCACCTTTGAGCTTCTCACTCAAATCTTCCAGCGACATCAACACGTTTGTGATGTTATCAAGCTCTCGTCTAGTTTCAGCTGTTTTGTCTACAATGACTTTGTGCTCTTTGGAACGCAGCGCATGTTGCTTCTCCATCGTGTCTAACTCTTCCCTAGCCTGCTATACATCAAAGCAACGTTTAGTTACAATCCAGGGAAATTGCATTCTCTAATCACCATGCTTCTAAAGCAGCAGACGTTGAACTGTTGCTGTTCACCACTTCGACCTATCAAGGTTAGCATCATGCCAACGTGGGTAAAGACTGGCGTCCCCTAACGGAGTCTAGCGTTGGAGAAAACAACTTTTTGAAAGAGTTATTATAGTATTAAAAATGCAATGTATAATACAAAGTAACTCATCAGTATGAAGTTTATCACAAGAAGAAAAAAAAAGATAAAAAGATAAAAAGATAAAAAGATAAAAAAAGAAAACATATTGACCTTTGCATGACCTTGAGAAGCTGTGTCAAGAGCGACGGTTGTCTTCGTGAGACTGGCATGTAGACTAGCCAGATTGCACTGGAGGTCATACAATTGCACTCCAGCCTCCTCCCGATCCTTGGTGGCTCGCAGCAGATACCTCTTTTGCTCATAGATTCTATCTTCAATCTCATGCTTCTTGTCCAACAACTGCTTCTTAAGTCTCTCCTGCACCTGCAGCAAGACTTTCTCGTTCCGGAGATCCGAGCTTTCACTGGAAGATGCCACGCTAGCCGACATATCCTCTTCGAGAGAGGACTCCGGAAGAGTAGCTAGGTTCGCCATGGCGCTTCAACTCAAACAGGGGGTAATGGAATGAGGAGCTGGACTTCACAGAGGATGTCTGTAGACAAAGTGAAGCATGCGGGTTTATTTGTTTGTAATAGAATTTGCTTTGTGCGTTTCGTGAATTTATCTCTGTTACCCATGCCTACGCGTGTCTGAGGATGTCTCAGCGGTTCACTTCCTCTTGCATTGGCAGCACCTGCACAACCTATGGAATGAACACTGTCAATACGACTGAGTTCAACAGGGCCATGGTAACAGGAGGCTTCATGGTTAATTTTCAACTGATTGAGTGAAATTTGTGGATCCGTTGCGTCTCTTTGTTCGAAATAAAAATGTTGTCCATAAGAGTTTACGCCAACAGCCTCCAAAATCACACCGTGATTAGCTGGATATAATTCAAACTGTGCATCAAATTCTGCTCAAGATTTGTATGCTTGGGAATTACCGCTGCAAAATTCAAGCAGCTCCGGGACAAATTTGGTGCAATATAATTGGTGGTGGGATCTCCTCTGTGATCCATAATTAGAGAAATCTTCCAGAAGACCAATGAATTTCGAGCGGATTTCTGAACTTCACTTTCCACATATCTTGTAAGATCTAATGTTATTTATCTTCGTGATGAACGTCTGTTTGATTTCGGTTTTGAAGAGCTACGTTTCAAAAAAAAAATAACGATTCTGGCATTACAGATATTGCCAACAGGAACCGCAAGGAAACGCTCACAACAGGAAACCCATAATAGTTTCTTACAAGAATCGACTTTATCTCCAGAGATAAAATGCGTCACGTTCAAAGCTACTTACAGTTCTGTCATCAATCCACTGGAATGGCTGCAGCAAATGGAACCCAACTGCCACGACCAAGACTTTCTGCAAAACAGACGCTGCTTAATCAGAAACTACAGAGGTCCAGCGACGAACACAACGCTGGGTGGGTCTCCAAAATTGGGCGAATTGGAACGCACAGCCTGACATCAGCGAGGGTCTTCTTCTAGCCACCTCGGATTTCTCAATCCCAAGGGATCATAAGAATTTCGGCAACAGCGACAAAGAATTTCAAAGATTCGCACATATTGGATCGAGTTTCTCTACTGATTGCGCCAAACCCTAAATTTAGAACTAATTTTAGAACTGGCTGGTTTGACGACGGAAATCTTCTTCCTGTCGAATTAGGGCACAACCAACAGCGAAGATCGCAGGGAACCCTGTCGAAGGAAAGCGAATTGAAATCTATCCGGAGCTATGGAAATTGGGCCATGGGATGCGAAGCCTGCTCCAATCTTATCCGTCACACAGATACATCCCCCTTGGCCACAACCTTTTAATAGAAAAACCGGACCCTAGACTTGGTGTCCGGAGTTCATCCGTCAGATGAGTCCCAGATCGTGCGTGTAGGCCCTGTTTGTTCAAAGTGCGGCATCCGGGTGCTGATTGTGTATAGTTTAATCTTTTGGGTTTTGCTTGTCTGTTCACCTGCAGAAAAAACTAGCTCTCACACGATCTTGCCCAACTCGGACTCGATTTTGCGAAAGTGCTGGTCCTTTGGCTTTCTTATAGTGCTCTGTTCGGTTTGTGCCCGTCTTGCTGGTAGTCGTACCTCGCAATGGGCATGACAATTGCCAAATTCTATACCCTTATTAATGAGGGCGCGTTTTAGTAGCTAAATGTTGATATGGGGGAGCGTAGAAAGCATCAGTCAGGGTGCTGGTTTCAGTTTTTCATGATTTTGGTAATCGAAGACTGATTCGCAAGTGCGAAAGATTTCGTGTCCCGGCGGTCTTTCCAGTGCGTTTTCGTGTAATCGGATTCAAAGGATGCTGTGATTGAAGTCACATTCTATCCTCTCACACGGATTCTCTGCTTCACGACGTCATTCAAAGCAACTCAACGATATTGCAAACTAAATCCGTCTTTGAGCACTCTGATACAAGTGACGCTACAAAATTCTTATTTGTGAGCTGCTGTGACCATCCCTCTAGTAGAGACTTAATTGTCGAGCAATTTTCTGTATAGTTTTGGGTGAAATCTCTTGTAGATGATCCTGTCCTTCCTTTGATTTTCACTATCTGTGTCCATTGAGTTCTATGTCTTCCAAAGCAGAATTCCGGCGATCGATCTAGCAGTTTTATCAATTCCGTGGGCGCCTCATTCGTCTTGTCAGTGCAGTGTCTTCAATGGCCAGGCTTAGATACTATGATCGTGTCTGTCCTGTATGGTGGTTACAAACTGATGCATTATCTGGCGTTTGTGATGTGCAGGACACTTTTGTAGCAAGCCATTGATTTGCATAGTTACCATTTTAAAATTATGATGACTTTTGTAGTCAGGAGCTAGGAACCATTTATCGCGGTCTCTCTCTCTCTCTCTCTCTCTCTCTCTCGTAAAAAGGTGCATCCAGGTATAGCTAAGAATAAGGATAGATAGCAACAGCGAATGTTTTGCATATTGTAAAGTAATGTCAAGTGTACCTGCTGATCAACAAGGAGAGGCCAGGGTGACACTGTAGGCGACAAGCTGCGAATATCATATGCTTTGAGCATCGTTGGCTATGGAGTCTCTGGCTTTTACCACCTTAGCGGCGACATCCTTCAGCTCCAGGATATCCAATTCACAGCCCAAATTCTGTCCAGAAGGTTGCGTGAAGTGCAGCCCAGTGTCTTTGTCTCTTTGGTCCTCATTTCTCTCTTCGTTAAAGAGATCTGAATGCTCCTCCTCATCGACGAGTTTCAGGGAATCACTATTATATGGAGAGCAGTTCAAGGCTGTCGAGAAAGTATGTACAGTTAGAACCAACAGAAGGATATCTATGCGAAGCGCTCGAGTGGCTTTCGTGGATCAATGTGGCTCCGATAATTCCCGGGACTCGAATGCACATATGACGAATGAGCAGGATCCCAAACGATTGACCAATGGTCATGCTACATCTATACAAGCACCAATGGAGGATGTATCAGCGCGAGGGATGGAGTTGAACGGAATATCCTCGAACAGAGTCACCACCTCTTCGGTAGTTGAGAAGACCATTGTGACAGAAAAAAAGAACGTGGACGTTGATGAACTTTGGCTTGAAATTATAGCGGAAGCCCGGCTGGAATCGGAGAAAGAGCCTGCTCTTGCCTCGTACTTCTACTCATCGGTCATATCTCACAAGTATGGGCATTTCCGGCCTATGTTTACTCTTGAAATGTTCAAACATAGGAACAGTATTCAGGGATTTACTTTGCGACACCTTCTGGTTATTTGTGCAGGTCTTTGGAGCGTGCTCTGGCATTTCATCTCAGTAACAAGTTGAGTAACCCCACTCTCCTTAGCACCCAGCTCTTTGGTCTCATTGTGGACATCTTCAACAGTGATGTGGCTATACGACGCGCCATAAGAGAAGATTTGAGAGCAGTTAGGGTCAAGGATCCTGCATGCTCCTCGTACTGTCACTGTCTCTTGTACTTCAAAGGCTTTCTCGCATGCCAAGCGTACAGGGTCTCACACTGGCTCTGGAACAATGATCGGCCGTCTCTTGCATTCTTAATGCAAAGCCGTGTGTCTGAGGTGTTTCACGTGGATATTCACCCTGCTGCCACAATTGGTTCCGGCGTCCTCTTCGATCATGCCACAGGGCTGGTCGTGGGTGAGACTGCCATCATTGGAAGCAACGTCTCCATTCTGCACAACGTTACTCTAGGAGGGACAGGCTTGCTCGGTGACCGGCACCCGAAGATTGGAGACGGTGTTCTCATTGGTGCAGGAGCCATTCTGCTTGGTAACATTGTGATAGGAGAGGGCGCTAAGATTGGCTCTGGATCTCTTGTGCTTATCGACGTCCCACCTCATACTACAGCTGTGGGAAATCCTGCACGCTTAATTGGTGGCAAACAAAGTCCCACAAAGTTGAAGGACATCCCCAGTGAGACAATGGATCACACTATCAAAGGCTGGTCCGACTATGTCATCTGAATCAAATTAGGTCTCCACTTAATTTTAGTTATATCCCCATTAGGATTTCTGGGATTTGATGCACGTTGCACGTAACGATTGTCATTGCGACATGCATTGATTCCTCAAGGTAATGATCAGTTAGTCTTTTTTGTGCCAATTTACTCGCTGCATATTTACTAGTGACAACTCTTAAGCTAGTTACAGAACTGGTGTTTCCTGAATCTGTTTTTCGTTGTCGTCTTGCTTCTGTTAGGCATGTAAAAGTTTGAATTTTTTTCCTGTTGTTTGTGGCTGTAACGGGATTTCAACAAATTCTACTGACCCTGCTTCTGATAATCGGAGCGTTACAGGAAGTTCCTGGTAATGGCATTACCGAATCCTCTTGATCGCTCCTGGTATTGATTAATTGCTGCATGTGCTCTGTTTTGAATAGTAGATAGTTCAGAGCTATTTCATTTTTGGAGACCAGAACAGGAAAAGAAGAATGCTCCAGATCTCTGAATTGGATTGGGTGAACTATCATGTGACTGGAGCTTTTTCATTCAATTGTGGGTCACAGAATTCCCACAACCTGGCCAGCAACTTAGAGGAACTCAGGTTATAGCTTACTCTCTCACTATCGGAAACCACCATAGATTTTCATTCAGTTAAAGAAGCTTCTAAAGAGTTTTACGGAAATGCCAAAGCAAAATAATAATAATAATAATAATATATATATATATATATATATAGGGGAATGTTAAATAGACCTAGGCTTTTACTAAATTGACCCACCCATCTTAACCATCATGAAAAAGTAATGCCATCTAGATTCGTTTTTCCACGATTGGATCCAAAATCAAAGAAAACCAACCATATTCATCATGATTACCATATTCTTCATTATGGGTAGGTCATTTTAGTAAAATTTGGGTCTATTTAACATTCTCATATATATATATATATATATATATTTACATACATATATGTGAAAGAAAAATTTCAAAGATACTCTTGGGTTTCAAAATGCCACTTGAAGCTTCTTCAATGTGAGATTCTATAAGGTGAAAGTTTTTATTTTATTTTATTCTATGTATTTTGTTTTTCTTCTCTTTTTTCTTATGATTAGTGTATCAATGAGTGCACATAGAAGCAAAATTAATAATATTACATATACACTTATATTATATATACATGGATTTTTTTTTTCAAAAAGTTTAATTTGTCAAAAGTCTTGTATTCTTGTTTATGATTTTATTTTAGTCTTATTTATTTCATAGGTGAACATCTAATAAAAATTTGTGGCCTTTTAGAAATGATCAAAGATTCATGCAACAATTAAAAAAAAATTAAGTAAATATGAAAATAGAATCATTTAAAACTTCCAATTCAATTTTTACATATTTTATTACTTTTTGCAATCTAATCTAAAAAATGTAATATGCAAATTAAAATCATGTTTAAATAGTAATAGAAATCAACTATTATCCACAATATTCAAAGTTAATACTCAAATATGAATGCAATACTTTAATGAAATTTGCAAGATAATTTTATGAGTTCCAAGTCTATACAAAATTAATACTATGTAGCTTTGATATAATTAAATAATAAATAGATCAAATTAAATAATAAAAAATTAAAAAAATGCATCATATTATTATAAATAACTAATTTCTGAGAATTATTAAAGCTATTAAATTATTTTACATCATATTATTGTAATAAATCAATATTTTTTAAGGTAGTGCAATATTTAATATATGTGTTATTATTTTTATCTATTAATTTTTTTATAAACTTTAATATATCACAAATTATATTGAATATTTTTTTCGAAATAAATAATTGATCTATTATTTTATTTAATTTTTTAATAATAAAAATATAAAATAATAAGGATATTCAAAATATTAAGCATATTTATTTGATAAGTTTTGAAATCAAAATTTAAAAATAAAAAATTCAATTACATGAAATAAAACAAGTAATGTTATTTTAATAAAATTTGAATTTATATTGACAAATCATCTACAAAATTAAAAATATGTTACAAAATCGACTTACAAAATTAACTTACACATAGATAAATGAATAAAATCTAACTAATGAAAATACATTTTTATTTTTCTTTAACCACAAAGTAATGTTTCAATAAAAATTTGAAAAAATTATGTAATATCTTGAATATTTTTTTAAGAATTTAAATAAATAATAAAATTTAAAAAATATAAAACAAAAACAAAAAAAATCATTGAGAAAAAATCAAGTTTGTAGTAATAAAATTCTAGACTATATATATATATATATATAAACACAAACACACATACATACACACACACACACACATATATATATATATATATATATATATATATGTATATATATATATATATATATATGTATATATATATATATATATATATATATTGATTTAGAATTTAGAAAATTTAAATTCTTCTAAAATATCATATATAAGAATTTAGAATTGGTTTTTTTTATTATTATTATTTGGTATTATAAATTATTATTTATTTTGAAATTCTATAATGTACATTTTACACTTTTAATTTTGAGTTTTAAATCCTTATTTTTAAATGTAGGTTTTTTAAAACCATAAATATACATCTTAAAATAAAAAGAATCCAGTCTTACTTTAATAATATTTCAAATTACTTTTGATTTAAAATTAAAATTAAATTATATCTTATCCACTGTCAAAAATAAAGATAACAAGAATTTGCTAACTTACGTAATAGGATGTATTTAGACATGTCTAAGGATGTTTTTTCTAAATGATAATGTACTTTTTTGGGTTTTTTTTATTTTCTTTATTTTTTTAATATATATATATATATATATATATATATATATATTTTCTTATTTTCTTCTAAAATAAAAAGAATCAACTTAATATAATCATGATAGTAATAATTTAGAAATTTTTGTTGAAACCAAGGCATTTACTTCTTTAAGTTAATTTTTTTGTTTATTTAATAATCTTTACTTAATATATTTTAATTTATGAATATAAGGTTTTTTTCATTTACTTAGACAAAATATTCAATAGAATTTTTAGATTGAAATTATATATATATATATATATATATATATATATATATATGCGCATAATTATTTACATCCAAATCATAATATCTTTTTTTTGTTAGAATATATGTGATTGAAAAAGAACAAAATTGAATTGACTTTTAGATAGATTTTGGAGGAAAAGATACTAACAAACAAATAGGTTTTAAAATTTTCAAATAGTTGTTTATTAACAAATATTTTTCACAATAAACCTAAATAATTTTTTAAAGTTATTTTTAATTTCTATAAACACAGAAGTGATTTTTATTATGTATTTGTTAAATATATACATTAATTAAAGATTTAATTTTTATCATATTAAAATGAACAATCAAAAAAAGATATATATATATATACAAAATATTAAAAAGATAAGAAAAGAAAATCCAAAATAATAAAATAAATAATTTAATAACAATTATTATTATTATTATTATTATATAATTTTAATTTTTATTATATCTAATTAATTTTTTATTTTGTAAATATGTTATATTATTTATATAACTTGACACAACTTTTGGTAGTTAGAAGTCAAAGGTTAAAAAAATATTTTTAATTTTTTTTTGTTTCTAATTACACCTATATCAATTTTTTTTTAAAAATAATCTTATTATTTGAAATATTTCACATAATAATATTTTAAACTTTTATTTTATTTTTTTAAATAATCATATTAAGGTTAAGAAGGAAAGACTTTGTTGATACTATTAGGATATCACTTTATTATAATTATTGAATTGATTCTAAAATAATAGTATTTAAATTAAGATATTACCTTAAAAGCTATTATAGCAAGACTTGAATAAAAATAAAATATGAAACATATAGTGTTTAGATGTAAATACATTTTTAGTAATTTTTAAAAATTATAAATTATAAATCATAAGCATTAAACTAATTATTTAATTTTCGTCTTATTCTTTATTATTCTATATACATACCTAAAACTATAAATCTATAACCTATACAATGTTATTTTTTTAATATAATGATGAATTATTATAAAAATATTTATATGATTAAATTAAAAAAATTAAAGATCTTAAATTATACATAATTTAAAAGTAAAATTTATTAAATTAGAATTAACTTCAATAAAGTATTAATATAGATTAAATAAAATATTTAAAAAAAAAATATTAAATCTAATGTAAGATTTAATAATCTAATTATGTAGTATTATTTTATAAGCTTCATGATTTAAAATTTTTATTATAACATATTTTTTTATAAAATTATATTAATACTTTAACTATTATAATGATTATTAGATTATTATAATTATTATATATGTATTTGTATCAGAAAAAATTATACACTTGAAATTTATTAACAAATGTTAACCATGCCATTTAATAAATATTCAAATCTTATTATATAATTATTTGAGGGTCAAATCACACAATAAATTACATGAATATATATATATATATATATATATTTATATATAATATTAAGATATTAAAGTCTTTTATTTTAAAAAAATAATTATCATATAAGTTTAATAATAGAAATTTGAAAATTGATTGTAAATATTTGATATTTTATTTTATGCTTATTTTATAAAATCATAGTTTTTAAACTTTAATATATATATATAATTACTAGGTTTATAAAATAATATTGTAAAAACATGCTACAATAAGATCTTTTCAAATGTTAAAGCAATAAGGCCTAAATACATAGAAATGACATGTGTTTAATTTATTGATGATAATTGTGCCAAGTTTTTTGTTGCTTGACTTAAGTGAGGTTCAATTGTCTTGGCATTGGAAGCTATTTCTTTCCATCCAATGTCTTTTCTTTCTTTATTAAAGTATCCAATAATATTTAAATATGTAAATCTTAACTTCAAGGATGTATGATTTAGCTTACTACTTTCTTTGGACTATTCTTTTTAAGCATAGATTCTAATATTAAGAATCTATTCTATTTTTTTTTTAATAGTACAATTATTTTAACTTTTTTTGTTTAAAAGGGCAAGCTTAAATTATCCTTCACCTATCTTACTTAGGCCTTAGTTGTGGTAGTGGTGTCCCAAACATATATATTTATTCCAATAATTACTTATATGATTAAATAGAAGTAAATTAAATTAGATTAATTTTATAATATCTTCTAGAAAAGCTTTTTAGAAGCTTCATAGATGTGGTTTTGAATTTACATGTATATTTACTTGATTGATAGGTTAGAAACTTGGTCAAAAA